TGGTAATTGTGATGGTGAGCGTGAGGATGGTTATTTATGTTGGCAATGATGATGTTCTGATATAGGAGATGACGTGCGTATTAGTCTTAGTGTTAAGTTTGTTTGGCGCTTACTCTAGATCCCCCCCAGGCTGTCCCGGGGGGCAGGACACAAAATATGTACATAATTACTCCTAAAATGTAAAAGTAGTTACACTCAATGGTTGGGGGAAAGTATAATCAGAATTGTCTAAGGCTGCCACCCAACGTTGTGGAGAAAAATAGCCATCTTAGACAGGTGGACACAGTGTCATTATATTGTTAAAAAAAACCCAAAAAAAACAAGGGGGAAATGAGCAGTAGCTGTTTGTATAGGTGAATGTCTTATACAGATGGTCATCAGTAGAGCAGGTTCGACTGTAGTGTCTATTTTCAGAGTGAAAAGAAATGAAAAGTATTTTATAGGTTCAGAGGTACTTTCTTGCCAACAGAATTACACTAGCTTATGAACTGTTCACATCCATGGTGGATGGTGAAATGGTGTAAGGGCTAGGTTTAACGCCTCTATCAACACCATTAGGTTATTTAAAAAGCAGGACCTCCGAGTTTATCATCCATCTCTGAAAATACCAAGCCAAATGGGAATTTTGTGTAAAGTGCTTTCCCCAAGGACACAACGTCGGACCGAGCTGAGGCCTGAAACCCCAAACCCGCTACCTCACAGTAACCAGTCCGGTAGCCTAACCAGTAGGCTACCAACGCCACTTCACATTCAAGGAAATATATATGCTGCTGACATGTTTTATGAACTGAACCCAAATTCACCTAACTGCACTGCTCTGAGTTCAAAGACAAAGAGAGGTTCATAGAACTTTGGGATTTCAATTTTAAGCAGTGTCATCTTTTTTTTTCCATTCTGGAATATTTTTTCTTAATCAGGTCTCTTGGTGGGATACAAAGACATTCATCTTTGAACTGAGCCCTGAAGAATTAAGAAAGTGTGTCAAATTTGATCTTTAAAAAAATTAAATGTGAATAACAAGCCTACTTCATTTTTTAAAAGTTGTTGTTAGTTCTTTAGTTTTTCCATACACTGCTACCATAAACAAAATATCTACTATGTCTATGCACGAACCTGCATGGACGAGAATGAATATTTGATGGTTGGATGGCACTACAGGACGGTCCTTATACTTCTTTTTTCCCCCTCTGCTTTTTTCTGTCTGTCTTACTTTTTTCCGGCACATAACCGTTAAAATGTGTCCATGTGCTTCTTTTTACTCAAACAAACAAACAAAGGAGATACATTAGGCCATAAATAACACTCATGCAGTCCCTTTCTGAACCCCCCCCCCCCAACTAACATGTAAGGAGGACCCCCGCCTACAACCCAATCTCTCTCTCGTACGGGATGCATGTGCACAAAACTAGTAACTAGTTTGAAAATGTTCTCTGTCTGAGAGCACACAACATTAATCTTTATATTTCTTTTATTGAAACAAGTTTGTTTTGATGGATTTGCTTCTGTTATGAGTGTGTGTGTGTGTGTGTGTGTGTGTGTGTGTGTGTGTGTGTGTGTGTGTGTGTGTGTGTGTGAGAGAGAGAGAGAGAGAGAGAGAGAGAGAGAGAGAGAGAGAGAGAGAGGGAGAGAGAGAGAGGGAGAGAGAGAGAGAGGGAGAGAGAGAGAGAGAGAGAGAGAGAGAGAGAGAGAGAGAGAGAGAGCGAGAGCGAGTGAGGTCGGGAGGGAGGTATGAGGGAGAGGGAGGATAGAAGGAGGGAGAGGGAGGGGGGAGAGAGAGGGAGAGGGAAGGAGAGAGAGGGAGAGAGAGGGAGAGAGAGAGAGAGAGAGAGAGAGAGAGAGAGAGAGAGAGAGAGAGAGAGAGAGAGAGAGAGAGAGAGAGAGATTCTTTGAACATTTTCTTTATTTACCATGGGTTTATAGAATCTATAGTCAGAACCTTAGGCCCTACATTCACTTATTGATGGAAGAGGCGTGGGAAGAAACCACAGAATTCTATTAATAATAGAAACAAACTCAAGTCAAGAACTTTAGTTTTGTTTCGTGGTCGGGACTGTCTTCTTTCTTTCCATTCAGGTGAGCTGATGTTTTATAATCACCAAGGAAACATAACTCTTGAAAACTAAGCGCGCCAAGCCCAAGCAAGCAAGCGCATCCCAAATGGTTGATAATGGAACAATATGTAGCCTAACGTTTACCGTCTAGTGTCTAGGCCCAATTAAAAAAGTACAGCCTGCCGTTAACTCTGAAAGGTCTGTGCTTTCTTTGATTGTCACGTACATTTAAAGCTTTGCAAAAATCACCGGCTGTTCCAGGCCCTTACTATTCGGTATTCACCATCATGTCATTGTAAGTACACTCGCCTCCAAGAACTAAGACAAGACAAGACTAAGAAGAGTGAGACCTAAGATCTAGAGATCTAGATTCTAGATCTAGATCTACGTGACTCAACTACCAGCGGTTGTGATGATGGTGGCAGTGAATAATGGGGACACTTAGTTCACTATAAATACCTAGAACATAACTTGGACTTGTGGTCCATGGCCTTGATGAGGAAGTAGATCTGTCATCTGCCTGCCAGCAACTGGACAAGAGGGGGAAGTTGTTTCACAATCACAAGATTGTTTATATCTGTGTTCCATTTATTTTGTCTTTGAAATTTAAACCTCCTTTTAGAGTGACACCGATGACGACTGTTGCCATGAAGCAGAGCACACTTGCCGGGCTTTTTAGTCCAAAGTGTGGTTTACAACCACAGACCAAGCCACCAAGTGATTCAGAAACTGCCCACAATGAGCATACTCAGGAGAAAACCCAAGACACTGAAAAGCAGTGTAGCAGTGAAAGTGAAAACACTAAACTAAAGAAAGATCAACCTAAATCTAAGAAGGTCAAGTCAAAACTCTCCCTGTCTTCTGAAGCTCCCAACAGCCAAAAGAAGAAACAACAAAAGAGGAAAGAGGTCGCTGAATTTGAAGAGACTGGGGCCAACACTAATATTAGTAGAAAATCAAAACCCATTATTGAGAATTCAAAAGCTGTTACGGAGAGTTCCACGCTTAAGGTTAAGGAAGAAGAGAGTGATGTTAAAGCAAGTGATGAGAAAGAAACACTGTCATATGAAGATTTTCTTGGAATGTTCAAACCAGCAAATTTGGGAGAGCCTGTGAATACTGAAAACGAAGAGGTTCCGGAAAACATTAAAGATGAACCAGAGAGTTCAGTACCTGAGCCGGTTAAGGGTATGGTGCAGTGTAGGACTATAACTTCTTTCTTCAAGAAAAGCTCTGTGAAAACGATTGATTCAAAATCAGAAGTAAAATCATCTGCTCAAACTGTCACTGTTGATGTTCACCGTGATGCCTTGTCAAAGATACAACAAAAACAGGATACCAGCTTGGCGACATCAATAAATAAGAAATGTGAAAAGACACTGAAGAAGAATGAAAGCAAGGGTTCTCAACATGATGACAATGAAATAATTCTTCTTAGTTCGGAGATTATAGTCACAGATGATAAAGATGATATTGGACATGATATGAGTGCACAGAAAGTTGGAAATAAGCGAAAATGTGACAATACTGCAAGAACTGAAGGTAGTGAGATAAAGAAGGTGAAATTTGATGAAAGTGGCAAAAAAGGAACTTCAAAAGAAGAAACTCAAGGAATGGTGGTGGATGTTGAAGCTCCTGTCACTGTCAATGACACAACGCAAGAAAATGCATCAGTGCCTTCAGCTTCAAGCACAAAAAATCCGTCTCTAACACGCACTCAATCAAAACTGAGCTTTGGAAAGTCTGGTTTGTCTGTGGTTAAGCCTGTTCTAAATGTGGAGGAAGATGAATCGAAAGTTAATGAAAAATTGTCAGACAGGATAGAAGTGTCGGTTCAATCTCCGCCAAAAACTGTGGAAGAAACCATGGATGTTGGCGTAGGCACATCTGATGCTGCACTTACTTCAACTGAGACGGAGAAGGGAAAAAAGAAAGGACCCAGGTAAGCATAAAAAAAGCATAAAATAAAATGAACCCCAACTCTTTCCTTCTCCCTGCTCTTTATATTTTAAAGTTAAATTGCTGACTCACCTCTTTTAAGTAGATTATTAACAGGGGAGGATTTTACGTAACGAGCGACCACTACTATGAAAAAAGAGTAGAATAAAGGGTTGGGGTAAGGGTAGGGGTAGAGTTAGGCTTTGGGTCAGGGTTATTTCTTCTCTGATAGTCTTTATTTTGTTTGTTGGTGTGGTTGTTCGTTATGGAAGTCTGTTCTGATTAATAATAAGGACTTAATAATAAGAAAGGACTGAATAAAGTCATTTTTAATTACTGTTGTTTCAGTATTGCATGATGAGAGGCAGGAGAGTTCTTAAAACTCTGTCCATGGCATATAAAAAAAACGTGGTTGCTTCCCATTGTATGCTTTGCTGTGTTGAGAAAAATATGTGTACTGGTAATTGCTCTTTTAAGAAAGCAGTCAATGTTGGTTCAAAGTAAAGATTATTGACTGACATTATAAAGCTTTGCCCCCTTTTTTTTAGACAGATAAGGCTAGGGAAAAATTTCCTTTTACCTAGAAAGCCTAAGTAGAAGTAGTATCCTCGTGTCAATGTGTGGGGAGTTGAGGGGATGGGGAGGTGGGGGGGGCAGGTGGGAAATATGACTTGTTATAAAAAAGTTCACTTGCAAATGTAAACAAGCCATTGTATGATTGTTATAAAATTTCTAATTCTTAATAATCTAACCTTATTTTTTGCCAAAGCTTATTTTTAGTCAATTATATCTTTACTTCACAGTGGAACTCGGAACCTTAGAAGCAGAGACACAAATGTTCATGAAACGCAAAATACAGAGGATTCTCCAACTCAACCAACGACGTCCTTAAGGAGGAGCTCACGTACTACGCGGCCAATACAGTCCTTTAAAGAAGTGGAAGTTATGGAGGTGGATGTTGATGATGACGAGGATGAAAAGAAGATTAATGAAAAAAGGTGCAAGGAATTAAAGAGGCCACCCAAAAGTGAAATGAAAACAAAGTCACCCCTGCCTAGAGAACCTGAGAAGAAAGGTAAGAACAAAGCAAATTATCATTATTGTTTGACATATCTTGATGACAAATTAATGAATGTGTTCAAAAGTCCGACTTTAGTAGATATTATAGTGATGTGTTTAGTGAGCAACCCTAAAAAGCAAGGGCGTGTATAATAATATATTATATATCCAAACCCCCTCCTTATTTGCACATTTTACAAACAAGCAGACAGAAAAAAACAAACTATACTATGGCACTCTGGCTGTCACTTTTATTATGTTCATCTTTTCTTTGAAAACCTCGAACACCGCATCCGTGCCACTCAAATATTAGAAGAATACTTCTAGCAGTAGCAGAGCTGTACAATATACATTGATTTCTCTCCTTTGATGATATTGCTGTTTTTCATCTCAATTTGTGGGTGGTTGGCGGGTGCTCTGGTGTGGTTTGCTTCTTCTTTCCTATCAAACATCTATCGTCCTCCTTATCTTTCCTTCTTCCTTTTTATGTTTGTAACTCTCTTGTAACATCTCTAATCTTTTGGCGCTCATATTATTATATATATGACCTTATAATGCAGTTGCAAGCGCCGTAAAACCTCTAGTACTAAAACTAAAAAATCTCTCAATTTACATGCAAGTGATTACAACTTGAATCTTGAATGCTACAGTCAATAACTGATGCGGCCTATTTGTTACTCCTTTCTCTCATCTGTCTACCTTGTATTGTGTTATATTTCACCATTGGTCTGTGCTTGAGGTCTTTAAGTCTGGTAGTCTGTAAACTGTAGTGTTAGGACAATTGGATCTCAGCTTCTGGGTGGTTGGTGTGTGCTCTGGTCTGGTTTGCTTCTTCTTTCCTATCAAAAATGTATCATCCTTATCTCCCCTCCTTTTTTTGTGTGTTTCTCTCTTGTAACACTTCTAATCTTGGGCACTTATATGACCTTATTGTGTTGCTAGTGCCTTAAATTATAATACTTAGTATACTGAAATTGATCTCAGCTTCAGCTTCATCAGGTAATGTCACCCATGCCCCTGCCCCTTTACTCTTCTCCCCTCATCTCCATCCTACAAAATGTAGTAAGATTCTGTTATGTTTTTTAAATCTTTCATAGTACCAGGAAAGCTTGCTCCTATCTTTACCAAAGTGAAGGCGGCGGAGGAGGAAGCACCAATTCCTGTGGAGGACCCCGAGAAGGCTCGGCTGAAAAGAGAATTTTTAATGAGTGGTGTACCTGAGGAGTTAAAACGTCTCATAGCTTCCAATACTTTGAGCAACGTGTCGGGTGATTATCCACCTTTCCCCAAGCACAACCACACCCAGCAGCTTGACGGTCAAACTGTCCACAAGTCGCTGGTTCAGCTGAAGGTCAAGATACGTGGTTCGGATGGACAAGTCTCTCCCGGGGATTATGTTGAAAGCAAAAACTGGAGCAGAATGGCATTCTCACGAGAGCTGGATTATCAGGATGCAGCTTTAGTACCTTTTAAGGTTTGTTGTTTGTTATTTTCTTAATTCTTTGGCAGCATTGTTGCTGTTTTTAAAAGTCATTTTGATGTTTATGTTTTGCGAGAGCGTGCTTTCGTCTGCAAGATTAGATCTGTGTTTGTTGATTGCTTACAAGCCTGTCAGTAAGGTAATACCAGCAAATGTGGTACTGTCGTGCACATTTTTTATGCCTGAATATGAATCCATAGTGGCTTGTGGCTATCTCTCTGTACAGAAAAATTAGAGCCAGATGATTAACATGATATATACATATTAAGTCTTATAGGTAATCAAAAACGGCAAATTTTGCCAACTTTCCTGACGGTCATGGTAAGCCATAAAAGATAAACATTTCGCATTTTCGTGACAAACCATGTATTTCAGTGAAGGGGTTTGATATTTTGGGGGCGTGGGGGGATATTGGGTGTAGGTGGGTATTATCTCAAAAAAAGATGCCTTTTATAATCGAATTTGTTTCAAAGTTGCGAGTCTATTTTGTCCAGGGCCTTTGGGGTGATAAAATATCTGATGTTTAATAGGCTTGTGGTCAGCTCTTACTGAAATAGTATCATTTATCTTTAAAAGATTTTGTATTGCCATTTTTTGTGTGTAAAGTGGAAGGGAAGCTAATTATTTTTGGAAAATGTATACTTTATTTTTTACATGTTCCTTCATTAATTTCAGAACTTTTCTGCCCACCCGATCCTCCCGAAGGAATTTGTGAATGTAGTCCTTGCAGACTTTCAAAATTCGGATGGGAAATTCCCGTTCAAGGAAACATATCAGTATCTTCAGTCACAGCTGACTCTTGGGGGTATGTCAGGTGAGTAGTTTTTATTCTATCACCATTTTCATCTACTTTCTACTGATCTGTAGTTCTGCTTCGCCCCTGCAGTTGGCCGGGTCTATAGTTTTACTCTATGGAGGAACAAAGAATAACACCTGCCGTTATACTGTGTGTCGCAAGAGGTGACTAAAGGTGCATGGGTCTGGTCTCCCGAAAAGTGCCAGTTTGCGGAGGGCCAATACTTGACCCTGTAAAAACTGAAAGTTACAGAAACACAAACAAACATGGAATGACATCAAGAGGCTAGCCCAAGATAGAGAAAGGTGGAAAGTGTTTGTTCTTGGCCTATACCCTGATGCAGGGTGAGAAAGGCAGTGGTGTTGATGTAGTTCTACTTCCCGACTTGTAGTTCTGTACTACCTTTCTGTATGGTCACTTTTAAGCACAAGGAGGCTATCCTGAAAAATGCTGTTTTGAGAAAATCAAAGGTAACGTGTTTGCCCCTTGTTCAGTTTCTTTAAATGACAAGGAGAGTTTTTCTCTATATCCAAACAAATATACACTCTTATGAAACCAAACTTCTCCTATAGGTAGGGCAATCCCTACTTTTGGTGTAGATCAAGATTTCTGGAAACTCCCGAAATCTGGGTTAGCCCACTTGTCCTTAAACGCAACGATAATATAATATCCTTTGTTTCACCCTGCAGGAATTCACTAGCTACTCTTTTTGAATCCTTATGCTTCCTCTCCTCCGCACCTGCAGGTACTAACTTATGGCGCTGGGCTGAAGGAAGAAAACCCACTACAGGGTCCCCACAGGGTCGGGAAATCGGGAAAAAGTCGGGAATTTTGAGATGGGTCGGGAGGTCGGGAAAAAGTCGGGAATTTTGTGATGGGTCGGTAAGTCGGGAAAGTATAGGGCCTGTGTAATGTGTAGCTATCTAGACTGTATGGTTGATGAATCCTAAAGAAGAAATGTAATTGAACCGCTGTGACGGAAGTGTATGTGTGACACCGAGGCTCGATCGGGAATAATCAAGATCTGCTTTCGTTACCGCCCAGAAATTTTCCGTTAATAGTCTGATAGATAATACAACATTTGTAACATGCAGGTTATGAATTATGAACGCTGTGTCGCCTTGAAAATAAATCAATATTAAAAATTGCCCTCTGCTGTCGGTTGTGGAAAAAAGAAAAGAAAAAGAAGTTATACAAGCGTCTTGACAGGTTCGCCCTCGTGACCGGTCAATGAACCTGTGAGTACCGGCGGTCTGAGCGCTGTGAAGTATAGGACTCCTTTATAAGATACACTCGTGGAAGGGGATTTGGGGGGGGGGAGCTGAAGGCAACGCTAGAGGACAAAAACTGAACTTGGAAGCAAAATTTTAGCATTTTGATTACTACTTTAAAGCTCTCTGCAAAGCGCGCGTTGGTGCAGGCCTTGTGTGGAATCAGGGTCCGTCATGCCTTGTTATTGAACTAAAGTGTTCGTTTCATTGGATGGGGTGATTGTAATTTATATCTATATTTTATTAGCTTTCTGTTCAAGATTGGCAGATTTTCAGTGTCACTGCATCTTGCGCCCCCCCCCCAGTTCTTACATCTCTCACACTGAATTGGTGTACTTGAGCCATTCTAGTTATTACTCTACTTTGTGTTGCAGCAATGGTTTTCGTCTTCACGTTTATTATATGAATCAGGACACCCAGACTGGTTATTGACAGTCGATTTTCTAGTTCTAGGTCTTTTTTCAGGCTCAAAACAGGATTCATTTTTTTATATAGGGTCTATAGTTTGTTATGTTGGCTAATATGATGATGGGAAAATATAAATAAGTAAGAACAGATTGAAATACCAAAGTCTCTCAAGATCCCAGTGCCACACTGACATGTTGTTAACTGGATATAATGTACCTACATGTGTGTGTGTGTGTATTCACAAACATATACATGTATTATATTAGATATAAATGGAGCACGCGCTTTCATTGTTAGGTAACATGTTCCTGGAAAATGGATGAGGCCCCTCCCTTGGAAAATTGAGAAGCTGGTTTGGCAGTCACCCAGTATTATAGTAATCTATTGTTTGAAGACTATACTACAAAATATACATTTGCATTCATTTAAAGACATTTTGACTTTTTATCTTTGATAGATTGGCTTTTTTGGGGATCATTCTTGACGCGCAGCGGCCTGATTTTTCCCTCGAATTGGGGTCTTGAAAAAAATTTGGGGGTCTTGAAAAAATTTTCCAGGATTTGGTGGGGACCCTGCCACTAGCTCTTTGGTCATTGATAACAAAGTCACCTGCTAAATAACTCCCTGCTTTCATTTAAAAAATGGCACAATTAATGAATGATATAATTGAAATGCCCTGTTCTTGAACATGTGTTGAGATAAGGGGAAAATGCGGTTATCACTGTTAGGCTTACTGTGTTCCTTGGAAGTTGCATATAATGTTTTTTTGACATGCTGACCTGAACTCTAAAGCTGTTGGCTGCACCACTCTGATAGGCGGTAGTGTGTTGCTGTTTGAATGTGCTTTAAGTGTTTTTTACATTGAGTGTTTTGCATCCCACTGAAAAACAAGTTTCCTTTTTGGGATCAGTAATGTTGTCTCTTTTTTCTTTTCTGACTTAATTTTTTTTTGTCTTTCTGTCTATAAAATGTGATTAATCAAAGCTCTATGGGGATTTCAGGAGCTGAGCTGAGCAAGAAATGTCCTGCTGAGACGCTGGAGGACTCTGTGATTGTGGTGGACGACGAAGGTCCTCAGGCGGAGACTTCCGAAGAACTCGCAAGGTCACAGCTCTATAAAAGTATGAGCAGCATTTTTTTGCTTTTTTTTTGTTCTGCATTTTATATTTATTTGTTTAATTTTTAAATCCTCTGAAAATCCATTTTACTTTGGCCTCCTCTAAGCACAGAGGGGATTAGAATTGGTTCTGCATATATGAATATACGGTTGTTGCTACAATTTCTTGTATGATGTTTTTTTTTAAGGGACTTTGCTTCTATACATCTGGTGTGGGAAAGTAAGTGAGGAGGGAAGCCGATTGCTGTGGACCCACTGAAGTGTTCAGGTTTTACATGCTTTTTCTCCGTAGTTTAGCTTATGATATTTTTGTATTGTAATGCTAAATCTTTCAATCCGAAAATATAATGTTCTGTCATATTTCATGTATTGCAGTCAGACTTCTGTAGACTATTGATTGCAGAACTTTTGGGTTCGTGTATTGAGGTTAGTCTATATCTGTAATCTCTGCTGCTATGATATATAAAACTTCCATGGTAATTTTCTGATACCTTGTACATTTTCAGATTGCCTGTGGTCTGACCTGCACTTCCCTAATAATTCCAAACATCTGATCGGCAATGCCAAAGCGATTCAGCACATGAAGGAGTGGCTGGTGGAGTGGAAGCTGCTCATGGAGAAAGAAGCGTCTCGGGAGAAAAAGGGGAAGAAAAAAGGGAGGAGTCTAACCAAAGAAAAAAGTGAATCCAAAGGTCAGACTATTATTTGTTTGAATTCTCTTCTCTCTTCACTATGATTTTGGAGATTTGGTTGGGCTTCATCATTATGTTTTTAAAAGCTAGTATTTCTGTAAAGAATGGAGACTGATTCAGCATGAGTCATTGTCTTTCTGTGACAGTAGACTATGTTGTATTGACAAGCATGTAGCTGGCAGCATATGGAAACAAGAAAACAAAAGCCAGCTTCACATTTTGTTCCTTTTCTTTTTTGTTCAAATCAAAATGATTGGAAAAAGGTTTTGTTAGTGTGAGTCTGAGAACGCATTTTTATGTGTATTGTTTACTTACATACTTTAAAAGAGGTCTGAAACATCTTTATGATGCTTTCTGGTGTTTCGGTTATTTATGGATGCTACTATAGTAACCTGGATACCCCCCTTCTTCACTTTTTTGAGTTTTCAGTGACTCATTCTCTTGTTTTTCTCTCTTTTCCTGTGTGGGATGTGTTTTTTACATATTTTTATGTTCAGAAAGGAACATTGATGGATATTTTTCTCCTCCTTGCACTTGCATCGTAACAGAGAGTGATTGGTCTGATGACAGCGACTTCATAGACAGCGACGAGGAGGAAGAAGATCTGTCTCTGTGTAACACCATCGTCATCACTGGTCCTCACGGGGTGGGGAAAACGTCCTCTGTGTACGCCCTTGCTCAAGAAATGGGCTTTAAGGTTAGCTGATTTGTTGAATGATCTCTCACTCTGTAAAGAAATCCCCCACCCCCTCACAGGCAATGCTACTGACTGAAGTGTCTTTAGGCCATTCTCAAAGGGGGGATGTTAACATGTTCTTATGCACAGTAGAAAATTGTAAATGGGTTGATTTATCAATGTCATGCTCATACTGTGCTGGGGCAACATAGAGAGTACTGCTGCTTTTTCTTTTCTCATCCTTACTTTTGTCATTTTCCTCTACATCTTTTGTATGTTTGTCACTCTCTTGTGAACTTCTTTTTCCATGGTGCCTTGATAGTCGAAGCAGACTTTGTGCTGTTGAGCCTAGAGAGGTGAGCAGAGTAAGTCTGATTCCCTGTGTGGACTTCTCTGTTGACATCCACCCCTTGGCGGTCATATGACCTTATGCAGTTGCAAGCGCTGTAAAACCTTACTAAACAATAAAGAAACCTTTCACATGTTTTAAGGCTTGGTCCTGTTTATTACTAATGTGTGGTGGAGGAAAACTGGACTGGCTTTCAACAACAAAACTGACGTATCAGCACTCTTTGTTAGAAACAACCATTCATATTCTGCTGTTCATTTAACAGAAAATATGTTGTGAAAGAGTGATAGCAATTTTTAAGAATAAATAATGTACTTGAGCACACTTTTTAAGCAAATAAAATAATGCTTCCTAGTTGGGCAACTTGAAAAGCTGCTCTACTGTGAGGTTCTCCTGCCTAGAACAAAACTCTTCAACTCTTTGATTTTTCCTCTCATTATAGATTTCCAATAAGCAGGTCTCATGTGTGATAACTGTTCTCGTGATTTTTTCGGGTACTCGGCAATAGACAGTGAAAGATCTTGTCAGTTTCTTAGTGTTTGAGCGTGTGAAATCTGCATCTTGCTCTGTATGCTTCCCGGGAAGCGGAGAATGTTACTGAGTGTTCTAGGGTTTGCTGGGGTAATAATAGTTGTAAAGCGCATAGAGCTTGCTGGCTTGCTGTAGAGCGTGGAAATGAGCTATATAAATGCAATTGTTATTATTTATTATTTTTTTAAAACATGCTTTTGTGTCTGCACTGAACAGGTGTTTGAAGTGAATGCGTCGTCGCTGCGAAGCGGGAAGCAACTCTTGTCTCAGCTGGAGGAGGCCACTCAGTCTCATCGCGTCTCTCGAAGCAAGATGGCGACGCTGCAGACACCCACGAGCATCTCACAGCTAGGTGAGACAGGCTTAAGGTCTCGACTGACCGCTCTGGTTTCATTTTGTTCTAGGTTTTGAATAAAAAGATCAAGGCGTACAAGGCGGTGATTATGTTTATTTTTATTGTATATTTGAAGAGATGATAAAGCAGTAAGATGATTTGTGGAGATGCCATTCTGACAGAAGTGTCCTTCTTCCCTTTGAAAAAAAGGAGTGAAGAGGATGAAACTTTGGGAAAAATTCATGAAAGTTTGCAAATGGTCTGTTATGCTAACTTTACCCAGGTCGGTGATCAATTGCGTTCAATGCTTTGTTGCAGGGAAACAAGAAGTTGAAAATTCAGAAGCAAAGTCTTCGAAGAAAGGGAAAAAGACACCCCAGTCTTCTTCCAAGCCAGCTGGGGTGAACAGTGCTTTTGCCAACTTTTTCCGACCTGTCCAGAAAGATAAGGCACAAGACACACCAAAGACCACCCGAGGGAGAGATGCAAAAGGGAAATCCGACAGGGTATCTTCACGCCAGGCAGAGGGAACTGCTGTTGAGACTGAGTCGGCAAAAAAGAATACGAAGAACAGCCGCCAGAAAGGTACAAGAATCACCTCTTTTTTTGGCATAAAGTACACATACAAAACTGCTGCCTAAACCCAGAGAGAATTTTGATAAAGTTTTTTTTCCTAGAGTTTATGGAAAAAAGTAGCTCCACTGGCAGTCCTACTTCTTTCGTTTCCTTCTCTTGTTTATGCATGTTGTTCGCTTTAATGTGTTGATTTATTTAAACAAAAATATGATCTGTTAAATTTATGATGGTATTGTGTTTGTTACAGAGGAAATATAGCATTAGTGGCGAAGTGGTTAGGCTCTCAGACTCAAACCGTCATGTCGTGGCTTCGAATCCCGTCAGGGGCCTGACATGTCCTTGGAAAAGGCACTTTACACAAATTTTCCTCATTTCATCCAAGTCGGAATGGGTACCCAGCTATAGACATTGAAAGATCTTGTCAGTTTGTTAGTGTTTGAGCGCTTTCTCAGCTGCTTGCACTGTATGCTTCCCAGGAAGCTGAGAGTTTATGAGTTTTCTATGGTCTGCTGGGGTAGTGAATAGTGTAAAGTGCATAGAGCCTGCTGTAGAGTGGGGTTGTGCCGTTTATTATTATTATTGTTATGATTATGCTTTGCAAGTAAACTTTTAAATATTGTTTTCAGCTAAAAGGTTGAAGAGAAATGAAGACGAGGATGTGGAAGTAGTTGAGATGCCCGAGGCTGAAAGTGCCACGGCATCGTCAGGCTCCCTCAACTTGACGTCATCCTCTCTTATTCTGTTCGATGAGGTACAGTCGCCAGTAGAACTAACTCATGGGGTGGTTGGCGGGTGATCTGGTGTGATTTGCTCCTTCTTTCCAATCAAACTTCTATCGTATTTATCTCCCCTCCTTCTTTATTGTGTTTGTTACTCTCTTGTAACACCTGTAATCTTCGGCACTTATATGACCTTAATGTGTTGCAAGTGTCGTAAAACACTTACTTAAACAAACAAACTCATTACTTTATTCTCACAAGAGGCTTGAATCTAGTGTTTCATGATAAATCTGAATGTGACACATCCTCATGTCTTGTCTTTGCCACTGATTTTTTTTTCATTTTTGCTCCTTTTAGTCTGGGTTTCATGCATATTTATATTTTGTAATTCTGATCAAAGGCATTTAATAGGTTAAAGTAAAGACAAGTGGTTTTGTCTTCCCCAGAAAATTTTATATTAATCTCTATCGATCGCCTGACTCTTGTTTGAATTTTGTTTGATCTGTCAACTTCTGTTAAAGTCTTGTCTCTTTTTTTAAAATTTGAGATGCCGATTTTTACCCAGGTCTTATATCATGAATAGTTACAAACTGAAAAGGGTGAGGGTATCAATTTTGAACATTTGTTGACTCATAACTATTTCTGATCTACTGTTGGTTGATTGTTGTTGTTACATTTCACATTTAACAAAGATAACAATAAACCACCGATCGAACAAAAGGATACAGAAGTAGAAATAGGACTAAGAAAGTGGTGATGGATGGGACACACCTTAAGAAAGCCCAGCGGAAACATCACAAGACAGTCACTGCAGTGGAACCCACAAGAAGCACGAGGCAGGGGTAGGCCACGGGAAACATGGAGGAGATGCGTGGAAAGGGACATGAGAGAAATGAAGCTCGCTTGGAAGGATGGCTCAGGACAGAGATAAATGGAAGGAGCTTGTATGTGGCCTATACCCTGCCAGGGGTGAAAGGCATTGATGATGATGATGATGACCGATCGAAAAAATAATAAATGTGAAGTTATGAATCCACATGCTTTAAAAATTGACACCTTCACAAGTTCCAGTTTGTGACTATGCCCATTTTTCTCGTGGACTCCTCATAGACACTTAAACTGAGGACAGTTTTATGTTAAATGTATGAATTTTTATTGAGGTCTGATATGTATACGTAGTATACTAGAGATTGAAGAACTACAAGAATTGTGTTATCTTCAGGTTGACATCATCTTTGAAGATGACCGTGGGTTCCTGGCTACGGTTCAACATTTCATGACGTCTACCAAAATCCCTATCGTCCTGACGGCACGGGACGTCTCCTTCCACCATCAGCTCTCGGCCAGACACGAACACCTTGTTTTCAAGCGACCACCGCAGGTGAGGATGGTCGAAGAAAAGAATTATCACCCGGTGTTTTAAAAATTGCTTGTGTAAAGTAAATCGCCTTTGTTTCTATTGGTAGGGTTCGCGTTGCCCATTCCCCCCCACCAATGACGTCAAGGTACATGTCTATTCATTATTCCCTGATCTGCCTTCTGTCCATTGTGGAATGACAAATTAATTGAATTATAGTAGCAATGGCAAAGGGAACCTGCTTGTAAACTTTGCTAGCAAAGGAAACATATATTGGTGAAGGAATCAAACAAGACAAAGTCTTGGTGAAAAAATAGGTGTTATGGGTTGTCGGCAACCTGTTCCAACAGGCTCTCAAATGCCATTCCTAACTCTCAAAAAGCATGAATTTCCTAGAAGAATTTTGCTTACTTTTCAGCTTCAGCTGTTGACATTGTAAAAATGACAAATTCTTTGGTTAAAAACATCAAACTTGTTGCACCCGTAAACACCGTTTCAAATATGATGGTCGGAAATAATCTGCTGAGGTATTACACTGAAAATGAAAATCAGTTTTGTTCCTTTGAAGTGTAAATAAATGGAAGAGGAAGGACGAAATATTGTCGAGATTTGTGTGCCAAAATCACCCATTGCCATTTGGAAAGGTTTGTGGTCTAAATTTATACTTCTTTGAAAGTAGGGTAGGGTTTACAGTACCTTGTATACATAATGAGAACTTAGTATTGCACTGAAGGAGAGGGGTATCCACTACATTCACTGTTACTTTTGTTGAATTATCTACCTTATTTTAGTTTGAGCTTATGCTATGGACTTAACGATTCTAATTTGAATATGGATCGCATCTCAGATTCAGTCTCACTGATATTTATCCATTGCTATTATTTTGCTGATTGATACTTTTGTACTGTTGTTTTTCCAATCTACAGAGAACAATTGCGAGTCTGCTGTGCACTGTGTGCTTGTCGCACGGAGTACGGGTGAGCCACAGGTCCATGCTGAATCTTGCCAGCCTCACAAAGGGAGACATCAGGCGGGCTCTGTTGCAGCTACACTTCTGGTGTGAGTCCGGAGGTGGGACTTCGCAGATCATTCTGGACTTGATCGGGTCACCGCAGAAGGAAAGCCACAAACCATCCTCTGGTAAAATATCTCCCAAGAGTCTGGGTGGAAATGTTGTTTCCAAAGAGGAGCAGGCACCTGTCAAGGATGATGATGAAAATGTTTCTGATGTGAAGCCGGTCTTCCAGAGAGACAGCAGTGACGATGATTTCACTTGCCTCAAGTTTGAAAGGAAACGACGGGGTAGAATGGTACTTGACGATAACGCTTCTACTTCTTCCAACGTGTCTGTGGCCTCCTCACAGGAAAGTTCCACGGCAAAATGTAAAAGACGCAAACAGCAGAAGCAGAGAAAGAGCAAGAGAGATCGGCGCGGAGGAAAAACTGCTGATGAGAAGACTGGCAGACGAGCCAAACATGCGAAGGATGACAGTGCTTGTGGTGGTGGTGGGGACGATGGCATGAACACATCTCTGGAGCAGACGGTGTTCCCTCCCGTGCACTTGGGCTGTGAGGAAGGCGTCTTGGCAATGAGGAATAGTGTTGCAAGCAGCACTGCTATTATCAACTTGATCAAGGTAAGGGAACAAAATTATTTTTTTTTTCTTCAACACAACTTTTACTAAGAGAACTTGTGTTTTGTGCATCTTTTTTCGTGCTAATTTATATTTGAAATTTATCTTGCTGAAACCTTTTTAATTTTAATAAATAGCATTTAAGCAGAGCATTTTTCACTCTGTGAAGAGGCCATGCTCTTTTCAGCGACAGTTGCTTGTGTGCACACCTTGATTTTTATATGGGGGAGGGGTGGGGGGTTGAGTAAGAGAAAGACGAAAAAAATGCCATATACAGACCTGCCACTCATCCCGATTTAGTCGGGATATCCCGATTTTTTGCTCCAAATCTCAAGCATCCCGATTTTCCCGATTTCGATCGTGTGTATCCTGATTTTTTGTCCCAGTCTGCTGTTGTGTCGGATTTTTATTAAAACGTACTCTGCCTTCTCCTTTATTGCGGGAAGCACCCGTTGAACTTTTTGTCAGTTGGAACTCGGAGCACTATTTCCCGAAATATCGATGCCACAATTAGTAGTTGACTCGCCCCAAGTTGTGTGTGATCTTTGCCCGCACTCAGAATTCTCCGATGATAGCCTGGTAACTGTTACAATTTGGGACATACAAATAATCGATAATATTCGTGGTTCCGCTGCTACTTTCAAAACAAGCCTTGTCCGAGGTCTGGTAACTGTGCGTTCACACCGAACACTCGGACGAGCGACTGGTTCACACCAAACACTCGGACGAGCGACTGTCTTTCTAACCCTTATATAACTACATGTAACTGCGCTGACAAGACAAACATACGGCCGATGTCGTTGCTTTAGTCTGAACGCATTATGAGGGATACGAGATTTGTTGGTACAATTGGTCGGTCGGCCGCTGTTGTTATCCAAGAGTACTAGAAGTGGAACGACTGTCGCTCATCTGAGAGTTTTATGTGAGCGCGCAGTTAGTCGGACCCGTTAATAAAATTGTTTCAATCGCGCATTCGCCTCACATGACATGGCATCGCCGTGTGAGTTCTGCGTGTCGAGGACCGTCCGTTTTCGGGGTCAACTTAAGTTCATGTATTTCGGGACTTATTGGTTGGTGTGGGGAGGGGGGGTATAGACACTTGGACTAGGAGTGCTTGACGCGATGCTTCAGGATTTACAAAAAATAATGATAACTCGCACGCACGCGCGCACACACACACGCGCGCGCGCACACACACACACACAAACACAAACACACACGCGCGCGCGCGCACTCAAACAAACACAGACACTCAGGGGGCATATAGGCCAAGTAATTTATGGACACCCCTGGAAAAATTCTAAGTCAGCTTTGGCAGTCACCTTGGTGATTTGCTGTTGATCCCGATTTTTTTCACCAATTCCCGATTTTTTCTCCCTGAGATCCTTATTTTGAGGTTTCATAGAGTGGCAGGTCTGCATATAAATTGTTTTTTATGTGGAGCATGTATTCATTTTTTTGGGGGTTGGATTGTTAATTTTGTCTAATCAGGGAAACTCAAAAAATGGCAGCGTTTAAAGTGCTGACACTGCCACCAACATAAATTTAAATAGATGAATATCACCTTAATTGTCCTTTTTCAGAAATCTGTTTTTACAGTAGCAAAGCAATGGCTCATGAATCATTTGAAGTACACCTGAAAATATCATGGAAGAATCATGGGTCTCAGTATTCTGCTGTTAAATGGATTTCCGCTACCGCCATTTTCTTCGTTAATCTCCTCTACCCCTACTCTTTTACTTGAAATTATCTTCTAAACCCTCAAATTGGTATGAAATAACCTTGCTTTGATAAATTGATGGTTTTTATTTCAGCATTCTAGGGTTAAACAGTATAATAATAATTAAGGGTGTCTCGTGAAAATGGTCTTCTGTCACGATCACGCTGAAAGTTCCTACTTTAAAAAAATTCTGAGTTCAGACCCATGAAGAATGCATTTCAGTATGATTTTCTGTCAGGAACAGATTAAGAAAGGTTTTTTTGTTTCTCTTTTCCCAGGCACCCTTGGTGGACCTGGAGCCGGCCGTCCACGTCTGTGGCACCCTCAAGAGCTTGTTGGAAAGCAGCGCTGTCTACCGTCTGGCCTTGCACAGTCTCCCCCTGCCCCGGGCTGACTCGCTGCTGATACAACTCACGCTGCCACACACGTCTGCTCAAACTGCCTCAGATTCTCCCGCGAAAAACGCCTGGAAAAGAATAGTTGTAGGGAATTGGTTGGACAGTGACTCGTCTAGTGATGGGTGTGGTAAAGACGTGAGCAAACCTGCTGAAGAAGCTAGTGCTAAAGACGCTGCAGATGAGGAGCCTTCTTCACAAGTAGAGAAAACCTCTGATGATAAATCTTCTAAATCAGAAGGAAATGTTGATGGTGCTGCTAAATCAGAAGGAAATGTTGATGATGCTGCTAAATCAGAAGGAAATATTGATTCTGCTGAAAGGCAGGAGCATTTACTGTCTGGAGATGGTGAGTCAAAAGTCTTAGTTAAAGAAGGCAGGTTAGTTTGGACGACGCTCCGTGACCTGGCTCAGTATTACGATTGTGTGTCTACCACCGATGTGTTGGAAGCTTCGTGTCCTGGTGTGTGTGGTGGACAGGAAGATCTCGCGCCTGGGATGGACGATACGGAAGTGAGACCCAGCGGAAGCTCACACTGTAGCCAGGATCGCTGGTGTCCCGAGTTTGTGGACTCGATGCATCTTTTGTCAGCGAGACGTTTATGTTCTCAAGTTGAGCGTCGTTTGGCTGAATATCATGGTAACGGCTCTGTCGGAGATAGTGCCACTGACGCCACTGGTGATGACGGCCAGAGTGAGGAGCGGTCACTGTCTGCCCTGTCCGGTCAACTCGATCTGCCTATCGGAGAGAAGCTGCCTGATGTTTGGGATGCTGTTGGTGCAGCTGAGCTCAGGTTTGTCAACTTTGATTACTTTGAAGCTTGTGTTTTGTGTGCTTTCTGCCCTTCACCAGCCCTTGATCCCCTAAAAGTAAAGTAAAGTAAAAGTGTGCTTTCCACTTCATTATCTGGTGTGTTTTGTACGCTTTCCGCTTCATTATCTGGTGTGTTTTGTACGCTTTCTGCTTCATTATCTCATGTGTTTTGTACGCTTCCTGCTTCATTATCTCATGTGTTTTGTACGCTTCCTGCTTCGTTATCTCATGTTTTGTATGCTTTCTGCTTTGTTATCTCGGGCTGAGGGGTGCAGTTGGTTACATACAGTGGAGTCCACTTGAACCAAAATTTGCGACAGTCTTTTCTTTTGTTTCGCAGGGTTTTCGTTATAGAGATATCGCTCAAATGAAAGATATAAAAATGAGGGATTTTATTTTCTTTCAGTTTACCAGCGCTGTTTTGGGATTAAATGTGTTCAATTTAACAGGACTCTCCTGTATTTTACATACAGGCTGAGATTTAAGGTGCAAGTTCAGTTTCTCATTTGTCCTTGATGGCAAAGTTTCATCTTAGGAAGGAGTCCTGCTCAGCTTTCAGAATGTGGGTGGTTTGCGGGTGCTCTGGTGTGGTTTGCTCCTTCTTTCCAATTAAACAACTATCGTCTTTATCTCTCCTCCTTTTTATGTTTGACTCTCTTGTAACACCTCTAATCTTCGGCACTTATATGACCTTATTGTGTTGAAAGTGCCGTAAAACTCTTACTAAAACTGAGCTTTCAAAATGACTTGTTTTGATAGGCAGAAGATAAGCTTACCTTAGTGCCCTGTTGCTGTCAGTCACAAGTAATAGCCATGCCATGGGCAAACTTTCTCCCATTGCTTCCATTATTTCTTGTTTGACAAACTATCTCCAGTTGATTCCTTTACTTCTTGTCATGTGTCTTCCCTCTTCCTTATCATTCTGTCGTCTCTTCTCCTCTCTCCCTTTCTTTTACTTCTAATTTGCTTTTTTTCCCCTATTTTGTAAGTCTTTTCAACTGTATTTTGTTACAAATGCGGATGGTTGGTATGAATGTGCTCTATTTATTTTCCTGCATTTCAACATTCCAAGTGTGTCTCTGTTTCTGAGGAAATGAGATTGTTATAAAGTTATTGTGCTAACGTGAAGTAAGATAATACAACGCTAAGTAACTTCTGTTGTTGTGGGTAATATACATTTGTACACAGATGAATTTGTCTAAGACGGCCACACACTGTCAAGGAGAAACATGGTTGTCTTAGGCCGATAGACTTATTGGATAGTGTCTTTATGATATTTTAAGAAATGAAGGAGGGGGGGGGGGGGGGGGGGGGTAGGTCATTTAAACAGGTGATCAGAAGAGTGTCTTAGACTGGTGGTCGTTAGAGAAGGTTTAACTGTATCAAGTGGGTGGTTGGTAGGTGCTCTGGTGTGGTTCGCTCCTTCTTTCCTATCAAACATCTATCGTTCTGATTTGTCCTCCTTTTTTTTGGTGTTTGTTACTCTCTTGTAATACCTCTAATCTGGGGCACTTTTATAACCGTATTGTGTTGCAAGTGCCGTAAAAGTCATACTAAAACTAAACTAAGTGTATCAAGAAAATTTTTCATTACCTTAAAACATGAACAGGTGACAGTCATGAGTTTTTGCCCAAAATATTAATTGTCAAGTCTGTGTGATTGCACTTTCTTTCTTGTATTCAAAGTTTTTCTTATGTTGCGAACAGGAGAGTTTGATGAAGTATAAATTAATAAATAGACTAAGATTGAATTATTTGGTATAGCATGGAGAATGATCTATCATTTGGCCATGAAATGTTTGTCATATAAAAAAAAATTTTTTTTGGCATTTCCATTTCAGCAAAAATAAAAATGCCTTGGTGAGGAATGTTTGTGACAACCTTGGATCATGGCATCGAGACTGTGACCTTGCTATTCACATGGATTACCTCCCTGCTTTACGAGAGATGTCGAGGGTGGAGCGTGAGCGACAGGACACCAATACAAAGAGAAGGTATTTCCTACTGATGCTTTTATATTCACTACAATTGTCCGTGGATAACTCAGACATGTAGGGGTGGGTGGTTGGCGGGTGCTCCGGTGTGGTGTGGTTTGCTTCTTCTTTACTGTCAAACATCTATCGTCTTTATCTCCCTTCCTTCTTTTTTGTGTTTGTTACTCTCTTGTAACACCATTAATCTTTGGCATTTATATGACCTCATGCCGTAAAACTCTCACTAAAACTAAACTAAAACATGTAGGGGATTGACAAATGTGCTGTACACGTCCATAATTTGGGTTGACCGATTATAAAAAATGGAAGAGGTATCAGTCAGGGAATGGCAAATTACAGTATAACATGGATAGGTGGAACACAGAGGAGTCGAAATCACATATCCGGCGAACTGTGCCTGCGGTCCTGTTTTTTTCTTCTTCTTTATCTTAGTAAGATATCCATTGAACTACAAAAGCCGATCAGGACTAATTCGAGCTATCTGTGTTATACTGTATATTTGGCACGACGCGGTGGAATCGGGCTCTCGTCTATTTTTAGGCATACAGAGTTGATGATATCATCTTAAGGCCTGTCCATTTTCCTTGTTTTGGGTAACAATAATATCCATCCATGTTGAATAGAAGTCGAGATATGTGTGATTGAAGGAGGTGAGGGTCATCTGGTTTCATAGGTAAAGTTAACGAGAAAATGACCGCCTAAGTTGAGTTATTTTTTTAGCTTGAGAATCCGTGGAAACTGAAAATTTACATTTCTTCTGCCTTTAATCAAAGTTTTGGAGTAAAATCCACTCAGAAATGTGCTCTTTAATAGGCATGAAAGGTGTTGAACCAAAAAACAAAAATTCGATAGAAATTCCCAAACCTGCGGGAAAATGCCAATTTCTTGACTTTCGTTATTTTGACGAGCGCCTGATTTCACCATGCTGCCTCACATATGATGAGCTGTCTTTGAGGTGGAGTTTTCTGTGTTTTGTGTTATCTGTGCCAGGCTGTGTTTAGTTCCGTGGTGGTTGAGTTTTGACTGCACCGCTAACTTGGGGTGGGGGGGGGGGGGGCGTCGGTAGCCTAGGCTGCCGGACTCGTAATCGTGAGATTGCGGGTTCGGGGGTTCGAGCCTCAGCTCGGTCCGACGTTGTGTCCTTGGGAAAGGCACTTTACACGAACTTCTCACTTGGCTCGGTCCTATCGGAGACGGATGTTAAACTAGGCCCCTTAAATAACCTAATAGTGTTGATAGGGGCTTTAAACCCATACCATTTCACCATTTTTTTCACAAACTGGGGGGACGGACAGAGCCTATTTCATGAAACTGCTGGATATGTAAGGGCGTCAGTTGGTCTCTCCGATGACTGACAGATTTTATAGTGAAAATGTTTTGGTATGCTATTTGAAGAACTGCATCGAGATGTTTACTGGATCGATAACAACCTCGAGATGTTTACAGGTTGTTGTGAATATGTCACTTCAGGTGCTTATACTTTATACTGGAGCAAATTTGTTTTAAGTCCAAGGTAATTTAGATTATTTTGAATGTGGAACCTGTTTATAATGTCAAGTCCCAGAGATGGGAAAGTGGATTCTACAAGAAGAGGTGAAGTCTTCAAGCTATAAGTTTATGTACAGATCTCTTTGCACTTGTATTTTTTGTCTGAGGAGTTGCTGTTGCATAGTGGTAGTTGGTTGGAGGGAGCCACTGTATTTTATTTCTTTAAAAACATTTTCTTCTTCTTTTATCCCCCCCCCCCCTTCAGATTCTACCACTACTTTGACAGCATTAGCTTTGGACTGAAGCCACAGACAGTGGTAGAGCTGGCCTCCACATATACAGTTGTCGACAACTCGTTCTGTCAGTGATTTCAACGTTCACGTTATTTTTGGGCAGTCTCCAACAGCCGATTGTGTCATGAATTTGGCTGAAGACAGCATTTTTATGTTGGTTTTTTTTTCTTGTTTACAGTGTTCCATTTTGTGCGGCTTACTTCTTTTTTTTAAATGGCCAAATCGGGAACAGAAAGTGGTGGTCATTACACTCTGTTAGCTGGCATACTTATTCTTGTAAAAATTAAAAAGACTTCTTGGTTCAGACTGGTTGATCCTAAGATTCAAATTGTATATTTTTGCATTTTACACTCTTTTTCTTCCTCTATCACTCTTTCCTTCACTTTTTCTTTCTTTTTTTTTATTGTGCCGGCAAGCTGTCCAAACTTTTTAGCCCAGAAAGCAACATTTTTCAGGAGAAAGAAAAAACTGTTTCTTTCTTTTAAAAATTGTACCTAAATTATGTTTCTCTCTTTGCTTCCCCCCACCAATATTTAGATCTAGAATGTTAATTTTGACGAAATATTTCTTGAGCACATGCAATGGATACCTCAGATTAACCCTATCCGTAGGTTTTTACTATCGTATCCATACGACGTGGGGAACTCTGTGCCACCACTTTCCGAAGAGTAAATTTTCTCGTTAATCCGATCTGTACGCTTTGCATAGCAGTCTGTCAAAATGATTTTTTTGAGAAATACTGAAAGTTTCAAAGAGATCTTCGTACTAGAAGTATTCTAAAATGTGAAGAATACAACCCCGGGGATACAAAATGACCCCATGGCGTACGGATAAGGTTAAGAAACTACTAACAAATTTTTTCTCCCAATTTCTGGCTTAGTACATCTGAACAGCTGGCCAGCAGTTTGCTTTTTTTTGTGACTAGTTAATGTATAGTACTGTACAGTGAAGAAATGAATGGTCTTGTTTTAGTTCCTATTTATTTATTTCCCTGATTTGGGTGAAGGTGTACAGAGCGGTAGCAAACGTTTCTTATTGTTAATCCTGGATGAACAACAGCGGATGCTAATCAACTTTTCTTTTGTACAAAGTTTATTAATATTATTTATATTTTTGCACAGTTTCGTAGGATTTTCTTTTGTTTCTGTTTGGTCTTTCAACTTTCATGAATGGTAAACGTGTGTCACACTCTAAAGTCAATTGAAGGCACAGCCGTCTCATGAAAGAGAGACAAGAAAATATGTCTTTAGTGGCCTTATCATTGATTCAGTTCCTGTGAAGTTAAAAAAACACGTGTCAGTGGTCAGTGATGTTTGCATTAGCAATGTAAAATCACTTGATTTATGAAGCTAAATATTTGTTTGTACATCCTTTCTATTATCAGGATTTTGTGTTGGAAGTAATAGTATACATTAAATATGACTATTCAAGTTGGAAGCAAAAGTATTTGATGGTTTACAAAAGTTATTCATGATGTAGTTTTGAAAATACTGTACTGTATGCAAAGAGGCAGGGAAACTGATTGAGAACACTGTAGATGGATCTAGTATATTAATGCGGTTTAGCATGCACATAGTGAAAAGATTTTCAGCCCCTGTATCTTTGTTATACAATATATATCCTTTGTATTTATTACACGTACGGCGCGTACAAACTTAGGGAAAATCATACAAAAAGGAAAAGACATCCGTGTCCCGCAGATTTCTCTATTTGTGTGCCAGACTGTACAAGCCCGTGGCTTGCTGTTGGTTTTCTTTTCTGTGGCATAGAAATCGTCGTAAGGACAATACTTGACATTTCGAAGTGTGGCTTTGTGGTTTTTGTTTTTTAGTTTTTTTAGTTTAGATAGAATTTTAGGGCCCTCACAACTGCATAGGGTCATATGAGTGCCAAGGGGCGGATGTCAACAGTGAAGTCCTTACAGGGAATCAGGTTTTGCTTTGCTCTTGAAGCGCAGTAGGGTAGAAATGTGCAGAACCTGCTATTCTAACTGTTTTGTTTTTTTCCTTTTTTCCCGTGTCCTGATTTTGGTGCCCGTTTTTGTTGGTTACGTAAAAAGAAAGTAATGGTGCAGATTGTTATATGAAAGGGGAATTGTTGAGTCGGTAATGATGATAATGATGATGATAATGATGATGATAATGCTGCTGATGATGATGATGTTGTTGGCGATGGTGACGGTAATGGTAATTGTGATAGTGAGCATGAGGATGATTATTTATGTTGGCGATGATGATGTTCCGATGTAGGAAATGACATGCGTGTTAGTCTTAGTGTTAAGTTTGTTTGGTGCTTACTCTAGTCTGCTATTCTAACTGTTTCGTTACTCTAGTGAGGGCTTCCCAAATTGAGGTAGGTAAATTGTAATTTTGGTATTGGGTGTGAAAGGGTTTGTTTTTATAATTGAGTTGTAGAAACCTTCCACCGATGTAGGCTTTGACAGCAAATATTACCGCGCTATCTTTGCTACGATATTATGTAAGATGACTTGTGACAAAACAAAATAAATCTTCAAAACACATTTTTTGCATTAACACAAAGCCTTGTAAATATCGGTAGATAAATGGCCAGAGAACTCCACCAATTTTGAACTCTGGGATATTGGATTTTTTTCCTTTCTTTTAATAGTCAAGAGTGTTTATTTATCCCTCTACACATGTTGTTAATTTTTTAAATGTCACTAAATGTTGGTGAGATCAAAACTTTCAGATTTGCTTTCGTGGGTTGGTGAGGGAACAAAAAAAAATTTCACTGCCCAAGAAAAATGCTATTTGATGAAATGAAAAGCAAATGCTTCAATTACTCTAAGACTAAGAGCATCGGTCATGTGGTATTTTTTTTTCCTTTACTGAAACATGTAATGAAAAGTCATTGACTCATCACTTGGGAAACCCTAATGGGTGTCTCAGTGCACTTCATAGAATAAGAATACAGATTTATGGATATAATAATGATATTGCTGCTGTCACGTTTTGTAGAAAGATAGGAATTAAATGTGGTTGGCACAAAACATGCCTTGTTTGTAAAATAATTGTGGGTCTATATCTACAAAGGACCAGTTTATTCAATATGACTAGGCATCTGGTCCCACATTTTGAGTATGGAGGCGCGAAAAATACTCACTATAGAAACCAGGAAGTCAAGTCTGCTCCAACTCTGTGTCCAAGGCAATTACCTGTACACATGGCTACTTCCCCCTTGTGGTTTTTTCCATGTTATGATGACATTGTCCATTGGGACCGCATCACAGGCTGAAAATATATCGCCACGCACAACTGAAGTGCGCCGCGAAAGTCGTGCTCTCATTTCCTATCAGGTGATTACACTGACCTGACTAGATGTGAGGACCCCAAAAGGGGCAAAAGACGTGCCTGCGTGCAGCACTTCTTTTTGGCGTGCGGACAGGCTCGCTCTGCTATCGGAGTGTTCCGGGACGCCGTGGAGATAAAACGGGAGGTCACTGAGCTGTATACGGAGTCACGCTGACCTATGGGATCACCACTTCCGGCCTGGCTGTTCGCCCGTTTCGCGGTGCACTTCAGTTGTGCGTGGCAGTATATTTTCAGCCTAATATGACCACCGTTACTTTACTTTCAAATAGCCCTGTTTGTAATGGTGTGTCCAAAATTTGTATCTTGCATGGACTATATGTACAGTACAACATTCACGCATTATATTCTATGTACACAGACCTATAAATTGTATGTTTGAGACGAGACGTGACTTAGGTATACATTATTATACTGTGTATGAGGTATACATTATTATAATGTGTATGAGGTTGCATAGGCACAATAAAAACATACCTTGACAAAGTCATCACTTTCTTCGTACGTTTTTATTTACATAAGTTTTCCGTCAAAACAAAAATCTCACACATTCAACTTGTTCTGCTTTCGAGAAAGCAATGACAGTGACAATAACTGGCTAATATGGCCAAACTGGGTATCATTAACTCATGAGTGACCACTTGATCAAAGTGTGTACATTGCAAGTGCTTTTGACGATGGATGCAAATGGAACATTCTACTCTATTGTCTAAGCAATTCAAACTTGTATCTCAACACCCCCCCCCCCATCCCAAACACAAGCAAACAAAAAAATGATGAATTTCTCATTATCTTTGATTCCAAGTGTAAACAACGTAAAGGCCTTGGACAAAACAGCAATTTTAATCCCACCCCACCCCACCCCATCCCACCCCACCCCACCCATCCCATCCCACCCCACACACAATTGCAACAGAACATGTATCTTGGCAGGGCTACTCAAAACGCAAGTAACATAATAAATACGTCGTGTAACTGCATTTGTTTCATACAGGGAACTAGACCCGGAGGATTTGGTACCTAGGCCCTACTTCTCGACTAGCTGGTGGGATAGAGAGAGCTGAATTTTGAAGAATGAGCAAGAAAACAAACAAACAAACCCTACAGAGTACCTGGGTGGAGTTTATGAAAGGAGACAGAGATACAATGCCCGTATACAAATTTATTCCAGGGTTTTTAACAAATTAACAGGTTGTGAGTCAAACTACGAGAGATGATCAAACAATCAGATGTGAAACAAATGAAATGATTCCATATATAAGAGAAATATATGAAATTCAATAACAAATCCAAATTGCCACTTCCACAATACTTTTTAAAGAAAAAAAGTTCAACGAAAGACATACGTCTTTTTTCCCCAATCTCTGACCAGACGTCACTCTCACAGCGTTCACAAAGTCGCGACCTCAGTGCTCTCTTGTCCTATCTCCATTTAAAAAATTATTTTAAACACTGAAAATGTGGCTTCTTAAGCTCACTCTTTGTTAGAACCGTTATCACTTATTTAAAAAATGGAGATATTGGCGCTCATATGACCTTGCCATATGCAGTTGCGAGCACCATAAAAACTCTACTAAAAACTTTTAATAAAAAAAAAAAAAGAGACAAGAAAGCACTGGGGTCGCGAAGTGGTTGCAGCAATATTCTCACACATTATGCTTCAGTCTTCTTGCTGTACATCCATTCTCCCCACACAAGTTGCACGGTGCCAAACCATTAAGTAACGCTCAGTAGAAGAAGGCGCATTTTCTTTTCCTCCTTACCAGCGATATTTGAAAACAAAAAAGCACATCTACAAATATCGGCTACATATGGTCGCTTTTAAGGACAAGTGGGCTAACCCAGATTTCGGGGGTTTTCCAGAAATCTTGACCTACACCAATAGCGGGCATTGCCCTACCTATAGGAGAAGTTTGGTTTCATTGGTGTGTATATATCTTTGGTCCTAGAGAAAACTCTCCGTGTCTTTTAAAGAAACTGAACAAGGGGCAAAAACTTTACCTTCAATTTTCTCACACCAGCATTATTCGGGAGAGCCCCCTTGTGTTTCAAAGCGACCACACATAGTAGAGGCACCCAGTGACTGACGTAGAAGGTGGAGCCATACATACAAGTTGGCAAAGAAGTTTAAAAACAAATTTCTGCGAGTTCCACTACTCTCCAGTTCCAGTGATTTTTTTTTTTTACATTCAGCCTCAAAGATAACATTTGATTTAACAAACACGATGAATAAATAATCAGCGACCACAACTACACCAGTGCTCTGCATAAATTATCCATTGTACTTGTAACCCGAATAGAGTCTGGTCAGTATACTTGGTTAATGTCTACAGAATGCAAAGAGCATCAGCCTTGTCGATGTGGGTTGTTATCCAAGTACTGAGATGAAGAAAAGACATGGAACAACTTACTCATCCACGCTAAAATATAAAACCACTATGACCCACTTGAGCATCAAACGTGAAAAGTTTCTGTACTTTCAAAGACACGATACACTAAAGTCCTTGTCATTCAGCCAATGTTGGGGAGAGGATGTCTTTGAAGACAGGAGCAGTGATGTGAATGGAAGCCTTAAAAACGATGGGATAATAAACCTGACCAAGATTATATTATGGATTTAAAAAAAACAACAAAAAACAAAAAGAACCTGCCACCTTTGAAAACGTCAATGAACAATATGTATCTCTATTAAAAGGCAAAGTTCAACAGCCAAAAGAGAAACAGTAAATCACACAGAACAATAGAAAAATAATTGTTAAAATCTGTTAGGGAGTCCTGACGGGCAGTCTTCTGTGGTCAGCATCTGTTCTTCCACGGGTACTATTGCTCTGACCTGCCTTTTTTTCAAACACACCCCCAACCAACCCACAGCCAAGCCAAAATCTTGAAAGCTAGTGAATGAAAGCAACTATTGTTACAATAATCTCACTGGGTCGAATAAAGTACCTCTGTGCAATATTTTTCTTTCAACGTCCCTCACCTCATCTTTTCCAGTTCTGAACTTTCAAAATGAAAACGCCTTTCCCTCTCACATTAAGACTTACAGGCAAAAAGTATGGTGATTGATCACAGTTGTACAAAACACACATCTGTTTCAAATATATGTTTTTTTTTTAAAGAAAAGATCACAACATATACAGAAGAACCTAAACAGAACAGCAGAATGAGTATCAACAATGAAAAGACTGAATGACACCCCTCCCCCCCCCCTCACATAGAAAAAGGAAATAAAAAAATAAACCAGCCAAAATTGAGTTAAAAACTAGGGAGCAACAAGAAAAGGTAACAAGTCAAAAAAGTTTGACGATTAAATACTGCACAAAAGTGATCACTTCCACATATATGTCCCAAATCCACATTGACAATTCATCAGTAAAGGGAAGAAAAGAAAAACCAGCCACACACATACTGTATTGACAACAAATTGCTGGGCCAAACTAAGCATTGTCTCACATTCATCTAAACCAGGAAAAAAAATAAAAGCCTCGATTCTTTGTACACACAGAACTTTGACAAATGTTTTTTTTGCTGTGACATTACAACTCATTGCACAAGGGTATAACTACACGAATCAAACATGGCATGCATAAATATTTTTACCCTCCCTATTCTCAGTTTCTCTCTACAGACATACAAGCTTGGACACATTCTTCATTCACTTATTATTATATATATATGAAAAATAATTTCCATCTGAGGGAGGAGACTTCTTCCAGAAGTAGAGAGGAGCTCAAGGAGGTGACTGAATGAATGCGATAAACGAAGGGTCTTGTTCAACTGAGGATGTTTCTGATTTCCTTATGGATGTGGCACAGGAAGTCCACGTACGAGCTGCCAGAGTTCATGCCCTTGTCCTCCACCAGGAAGTGGTCGAACCACGGCTGGAGCTTGTCTCTCTGTCTCACGATGGTCAGCTGTCAACAACAACAACAACAATGATGATGATAATAATTATAACAATAATACTATCAATCATTCTTAAAAACTAACATCAAAGATGGTCAGCTGTGAACAACAACAATATAATGATAATAATTATAACAATAATACTATCAGACTATCACTACCAATGATTCTTAAAATTAAACATCAATAGTGTGTTCACTTATAAATATGAGCTTGTTAATTTGTTTCCGTAGTACATTACTTCTACTAATAATACTTATAATTGTTGAAAATTAATATCAATAGTGTGTTCACTCATAAATATGAGCCTGCTAATTTGTTTCCTTTGTACTAGTACTACTAATGCTTATAATTATAATTGTTGTAAACTGACACCAATTGTGTGCTCATTCGTATGAACTTGTTATTCTATTTCTTTTGTAGTGGTGTGATCTGTTTGATCTGCACATGATGCCAGAGTGAGACAAATTTCCACAGGGGACAAAGAGATTTTCAATTACGATAGCATCAGCATTTATAGCACTGAAGAGCATTTTAAACATAAGACAATACCAGACAAAAAGCCTGAAACAATCCAACACTATGGACAAAGCTGAAATTTGTGGACTCCTCAATTCATATATAGAGTTATGTTTTTAATTTGAAAAGTGGAATACATCACTGTTGAACAGGCTCTTTTTCACGGCACATTTCTCTGACAAAAGAGAAACTGCCTGCCACCATTCTTATATCTTTGTGTATCGGGATAGTTTTTCAAAGGAGCTCTATACAATCTTCTACATGGATACCTTTCCAGCATCATATACATTTTGTGAGCAGCAAGAAACTCGCAATAATAAACACATTCCACATGCAAATTTTATGATACAGTCTGGTATTTTGAAGAAACATCAATGCCACTCAAAGCACAATAAATGTGTACTCTTGCAGTAGATAAAAAAAATAGAAAGTAGAAAATATGTTTAAAAAAATTTTTAAACAGGACATTATACTTTTGGCATTCTCTCACCACTATAAAAGCACAATCCTGAGAACTAAGAATTCCAAAAGAGAATTACCTTTACAAAGCAACTGTCTCGTAAGAAGGGAATACTGACCTTCAAATAGCGTGACCTCTCACTCCTTATCCTGCTGATCAAGTCACAGAGTCTACGAGACGCTGGGTTGTCCAACTGAAGAACTTGAACCTGGCCAAGAGGAACGATGAAACATTTTTTTAGCTTTTTGCTTTAGCTCTTATTCTAAATTGTGATGTCCCGTCATCCCAGTGAACATAAAGGGAAGGAAAACATTTCTGCGGCAACTGATTCATTTTCACTCTCAAGATAAGATTAATCTCTGACAAAAACGTCATTAATGGGTCATTAAATCGAAACTAGCAAACCTATTTTGATAGTTCTTCATCCAATGAATGAACTTCCGGTATAAGAGACCTGTTTTCGGCAATAGCCGAAAAGTAACTTGATGCCGAAGTCGTCGTAAAGGAATGTGCCCCAGCCACAGTCAGCTCGGAGCGGCTTGCCGGAGATAAAGAGATAAAAGGACACCTCCATTTTGAAGAAAATTAACAACCGCCCTCCCTGAGCAGGACTCCACTCAAAGACCACATTTCTCACCTTGTCAATGTCAACTTGTGCCGCACTCTGCACATCAAAAATCTTCTGTATCATCTCAGGGTTCACATTATGGCCAATCCACAAGAACATCGACAGGCCATTCTCTACCGGGGAGAGAAGTTAAAGGAAATTCAATTCTCTACAGATTCTCTTTTACACATAATACTTTTCCTATTCCTAAAAATAATCCTAGCCCCTTCACCTGAGGTGAACATCTATACAAAACGAGAAAAGTTTCATTACACAAATATAAATGTCTTTCATCCCCCCTTTGCAGTAAATCAATAACTGAGACTCAAATTACAACAAAATACCATCATATATTCACTATCTGGAAAAAAAAAAAAGAGAGAGAGAGAGAGAGAGAGAGAGAGGAAAAGAAGAAGTAAAAATTTAGATGTTTCGTCTACTGAGTATTATCTTCTACAAAAATCATGCACATCATGAACAGCTTTTAAAGTTCAATCTAAAAAAACAACCCAAACGCAACCCAATCAGAACCACAAATAGCAACAACTGACCTAACAAGTAAATGCCTGTATCCTCCAACCGATCCACGGAGCATCTGATGGCGGTGGGGACATCTGTAGACTCCATGTCCAAAGTGTGCTGGAATTCCAAAAGGAAAGAGAAATTTTTCGTTTGTTTGAAAGTGTTTTACGATGCTTGCAACTGCATAAGGTCATATAAGTGCAGGAAAGAGATTAGGGGAACAAATACAAAAAGAAAGGGTCCTCTTTTATTGTCGTCCCTCCTCTCTTAACGTCGTGCACAAACAAGAATGAGGGAAGAAATGTTTGCAACGACTCATTAGAGGTACCGACTTTGCAGTTGTATTAATGTCACTATCATATATATACCGTTCATGAAACGATTGATATGATAGACAAATTTCTATAGAACTGTGCCAGGTGCATTACCCCTTCAAGTTCTCTTTTTAACCCTTTCACCCTCAGAGCTATCCCTGCCCAACAAGGCTGAAATTCTGGCAAAAGGGACCCAACTCCGCTTAGACTGCATGACTATATTATTTAAAAAAATCATTAAAAATCAGAGGATGAGTCTAAAATTACAGTTTAGGTGTCAGAGCACAGATAAATGAATAAACTACAAGAAAATGTATGGTTTTGTATGAAAAATCATTGTGTATTAGGTTAAAAAAAATTCTGAAGTGAAAAAAAAACCCCAAAAGACACAACCCGCTTTTTTTGCCCGCAGAAGTTCATGATGTTTTACCCAGAACAGCCTTTTGCAAGGCCTAACCTGGCCCAAATTGCACCCTGTCACTGTCTCACTCCCTCTGCCTAGCTTTGTAAAGTTTCTGGTCTTTACACAGTAGTGGCATGACCCCTTTTTACCATGTATCCTGATCACAACATGCTCTAAAGGATTTGTTGTGACAGAGCCCACAGTCCCAGTGTTGCTCCTCCCTTTTTTACGTGGTAGTGCAGCAAGTATGTAGTACTAGATCTAGATCTAGCTAAAGTGCTGTGGGTGCTAGGCCTATCTTCTTCATCAGTCTTCTAAATCATCACCTCCAGCAACGATCTCACCATCAACATCACTATCATAGTTGTTCCCCTCCCCCTAGAGCCTAGATCTAGACCTGCGACATCGTGTTCGCTCTCCTACTATAGTTCTCGCTCTCTCTCTCTCTTTCACGACTGAGTGTCCGAGTGACTACTTGTACTACTAGCACTAGATCTAGCCCCTTGGTTGACGATATCGGCATTTAAATCCCAATTATAAGTGTCTCCATCGTATACAGTGCCTGTAGCGACGCAAAATTTCATCCACGAAGTTAGATTTAGGTCTCTAAAAAGCACGAAATTAAAAAAATCGCCGCTCTCGCGTGCTTCGATCGATTTTCACCAAATAAACACGACAGTAAAGGGCAACCACTCTAAATTCTCGCTATAAGCTGGGCAATCTCGTGCGACCTCGCAGGAAGCGAGACAACGTAGAAACGAAAGTAGTGCAAACGGGTGAATCGAGTGGGCGTGTCGGCGCACATCGGCGACTACGGGGGTTAGCGATGACGGCGCACATCGGCGCCTCCGAGTGGCAAAAGGTTAAAAAAGAGGTCTTTTAAAAGCTTATTTAACACTCATATTTTATAAAATTAAGCATGATAAAATTATAAACGAAAAGAGTGGTATCTGGAGGTGGTGGTGAGGGAGGGGATTTCATTCACTGATAATAATAATAATTGCATTTATATAGCGCATATCCATGCTCAAGAGCTTGCTCTATGCGCTTCACAACTATTATTACCCCAGCAGACCCTCTGAAAACACTCAGAAACATTCTCAGCTTCCGTGGAAGCATACAGTGCAAGCTGCGGATTTCACGCGCTCAAACACTATCAAACTGACAAGATCTTTCACTGTCTATAGCTGGGTACCCATTTCCAACTAGGTGAAGTGAGGAAAATTGGTGCAAAGTGCCTTTCCCCAAGGACACAACGTCGAGCCCCTGACGGGATTCGAACCCATGACCTAACGGTTGCGAGTCCGAGAGCCTAACCACTAGGCCACCGACGCCACAATATTTTGATACATCTAGAGAAATCCTAATGCTGTACTTACAAACGGTACAAGTCTTGGGTAGAAGAAAACGTTGGACATGGTAACATCCATTGAGTTGACTAAATGCATCAGGTAACTTCTGTCGTCAGTTGATATTTCAGAACCTGAATAAGATAAAGAAAGAAAAAAAAAATAGTTTACAGAGTTGTGCCTCAATATGCTACAACAAAAACACATAAAACATAAAAAATCTGTTTCTTTCAGATACAGGGTTAGGTAGACCCGCCATTCTATGAAATCTAAAATCAGGATCTCAAGGGGGAAAAAAATCGTGTTCTTGGGAAAACGATTAAGAAAAATGACAAATGACAAGGGTGACTGCCAGGCTGGCTTTAGAATTTTCCACGGGTGACCATAAATATACGAAGGCACAGTAAGTTCCTAGAAAAATCTGGCGCAACAGACAAGACCCCCCTCCCCTCCCCCGATACATGTGATCAAAATCAAGATGCTAGAAATCTAGGGGGAAAAAATCAGGGTGAGTGGCAGGTCTGGATTAGGACATGTCACAGCCGATATGTGTCAGCATTACTGTACACGTCTTACAAGAATCACAAGCCCCAGTTCCTACACTCACCGAAAGCTCAAGACCTCATCCATTGATGCAGAGCATTGAATAACTTATGGCTATGGCGATAGAGGCCAATGGCACCTCCTGGGCCTCAAGGGGTTCCGCCTCAAAGACCAGGGATGGGCAGAGGTCAGGTCAACGGGCCACCCACCGCAGAGACCCCCAGGACCTCATCCATTGGTGCAGAGCATGGAACAACTTATGGCTATGGCAAACTGGATCGATAACAACAACATGGCTATGGCGACAAGAGCTGTACTCACCTCCAGAAATACTATCACTCTTGATCACACAATTTGCATATAACGGCAGCAGCTTCATGCACTCTGGCAACACCAGCTGGCCGGCCGACGAGGGATTGGCGCAGTTCTTGCGGTAGCACGCCAGGATCTGGGACACCTCGTTCATGATGTGTTCTCGCACCTGTTTGGGGTTTGCATTCAGACTAGTTCGGATGGCTGCAAGAGAAAGAGAGAGAGAGATAAAGAGTTATATTTTACATTGCATAATAATGCTTGGCCCTATCAAGTTTAGTTTAAGGGTGCAATATTAAATAGCATAAACACTGGAGTGTCAGACGACTAGCGGCCTTCTGAGTGGTTTCAGAGAAATCGGGGTAATTCACATAGTCCTTCCCTTGCTCTGTAGAATCTCAAAGGCAGTATATTATTATGAATGGTCCCCAGGGAAATTTAAGGATGTTGCGCAAAAAAAAAAAAGTGCTAAGAACGCACCCTGAAAATCTGTCTGAAAGACTTTAACAAATACTTTGACATGGGAGAGCCTAGCTCCTCACAGGCCAAGACGGAGAGCAGCAGTCATAGTGGGCAGCAAATCAAGACACGTCATGACTAAGAAATACTGAAACCAAGAGATAAGTCCGCAAGCTGTGCATGTCCCCAAGTGAAAGAACAGCTTTTAAATGTTTAAAATGTAGCAAATTTTTCTCTGGCAGAATTGGTCTCATTGGTCACAGCAGAAGCCACAAGTCATCTTCACCTTTAATTCTTCAATCTCTTCTATTTCACTTGAGAAATATTCTCCACTGCGGATGTATGGTCATAGTCAAACACTGACACATGAGCTATTATTATTACTATTATTATCATCATTAGCAATAAAACACCACATGCTGTACACCATGAAAATGTTCAGCTTTTCCTTATCACAATGGTGCGTGTTGTTTGTATGTTTGTGAATTTGGAGCTGGAAAATCACCGCGACTTTGTGGGAAAGATCGATAATTAAATATATCCTCCTTTCATTAGCAGAGAAATATAGAGCTTTCAACAGCGTATCCATAGGTAGGGGCCTATTATAGCGCCAAGTTTTCAAAGATAATTTTTAAAACTTGAAATATGTAAACTACCAGAAAAAAAGGTACCAATAGAAAGATCAGTCCATATTGATTTGGAGTAAAGTCTTCAGCATCGGATTATTTTGCACCCAACTTTTTGCAAAACTCTGAAAGCATATGCCCCCAACACAGGAGCACTCAGCACACTAGTCTCTAGTTGAATCGCTCAGCCCGGGTGCCAGTTATTTTTGTCAAAATAACAAAAAAACTGCATTTTTGAGGCAACAAAATACAGATTTCTGATGATCTCATCAATTTGGAATGAGTGACAGAAGGCAGAACCTACCTTGTTTGGCGAAGAAATTGATGAGAGTGTCCAGCTCGCAGCTCCTGAACAGGTCAGCCATTTGAGCACAGCAGTTGAGAGACAAGTTGTGGCAGCGTAGACGTCGTTGACCGGAGACACTTGTGTACAGCACAGCCACCTGGGGAGATACCAAGGCTCATTCAATACAGGGGGTTCCAGTACAGGTGTTTCATTTTCGTACTACTTAGTTTTAACAGCACTTGCAACATAATAGGAATTCATTTAGGATGAAAGGATTTCTCTCTTTAGTTTTCGTAAGAGTTAAACAGCATTTCTTGCAACACAATAGGAATTCACTTTACTTATGATGAAAGGATTTCTCTGTTTCGTTTTCATGCTAGTTTTAACAGTACTTGCAACACAATAGGAATTTATTTAGGATGAAAGGATTTCTCTTTTTAGCATTATTAAGAGTTTTACAGCAACACAGTAGGAACTTACTTAGGATAAAAAGATTTCTCTTTTTAGCTTTAGTTAGAGTCTTACAGCACACTCACAACACAATAAGGTCATAATTATGAGTGCCGTAGATGAAAAGGAGTAGGACAGATCAGGGTGATGATGTTTGATAGGAAAGAAGGAGCAAACCACACTAGAGCATCCCCCAACCACCCATTTCGAGGAAAGAGAGATAAACATCCACACAGTAAAGGTCATATAGTTCAGGGACAAAGAAGCCAAAAAGATAGACAGAAACAACAGAAGTAAAGAAAAGAAGTAAGACCTAGCAAAGGTGCCCTCCAAACACCTGCACTCATTTAACAAATGCACAGAAATTCTTTTCTGATGAAAAGATTTTTAAAAAAAGTTTCAGCAAGAGTTTTACGGTTCTTGCAACACAAAAGGGTCTCTTTTGTCAGCGCATCTCACATATTCTTCAGTGCAGTATCTGGATCTGGTATCATTACCTGCACATATGCCCCTTCAGCCTCACTGAGCTTGTCGTCATGTTTCACCTCCAGAGCCACACAGGCGTCGCTGTCCACAGCCGACATCTCTACGTCCGTGGTGTTGGCCATGTAGAAATTGCCATAGAAATCTACGGGACGGATACCTGGAAAATGGAAAGAAGGGTGATGAAGACTAGTAATCTTTGCATTTGTATTCCTTTCACTCATGAATAATGAGAGTAACCACAAGTATAAGGGAAAACTAGATATGTTGAGCGAGTTGAATCTTCATGCTCTTTTCTCCACATAACAGCAATATGCATAAACAAAAAAAGCAAAGTTGAAGTCACAACTATAAAAAAAACCCATTTCACAGGGCGAATAGTTTAACTTTGTATTATCATTTATTAGTGCAAGCAGAACAGAAGAACATCGTCGATGTATCTTATGTCATTATCACAAGAGACCATACAGTTTCTCACATACAGTCTCACCAATATCAAACCTCAAACTCGTTTGTCAGTGAATAGAGCATTGCCCCAACTATACTGACCTGTACTAGTTCTCACTCTCAGAATAGCATCAAAAGCCTGCGAACGGCTCACTGAATGCTTCAGATCTTCCAAAAATCTTTCTCCATCTATGTCAGCCTGGAAAGCAAACAAACAAGAGGTACACTTAATCTCTACTTGCTACTCTGATACTTTGACGTAATTACACAGGTGACAAGAGCAGGGGCTGAATAAGCTTTACTGTGCTATGAGGAGTAACATACAGAACAGAGGATAAAATCAGCTTTTCTAAAAAAAAAAATCAATGAATTTAGTCAAAACAGCACACTACAGTTTAACACGGATAGGTTGAATTCGCCGAGACTGGCCTCTGTAGTTCACAGGTTCCGTAGTTCGAGGGATATCTTACAAATAAGAAGAAGAAAAATCGGGACCGCAGGCACAGTTTGACGGATGCCTGATTTCAAGTCTTTAGTGTTCAACCTATCCGTGTTATACTGGATATATCCATCCTGGCTGACACTTTTGAATTACAGTTGCACCTTCTCTAAAGGCCACCTATATAAGACAATCACCTGTACAAACTGCCACTTCCAATTCCCCTTTGCGTGTGTTGGACGTCCACCGGTCTAAGACTACCACTTTTTCCTCGACAATGGGTGGCTGTCTAAGATATTTCCGACAGTAGTTTGAATTGAGACGGGATGGCCTACAATACTTTTCTTTAAGAGTTACCATCTTGAATTTCTAATCAATCTTTTCTTAACGTAAAAGTTTTGAAGTATTTTCTTTTAAAATGGCATCAAGGAAAAGATACAAGAGAGTAATCATTGGGCTAGGAGTTACTGCATACCCTTTTAATTTTTTCCCCACCATTTGAACTTGCGAATTTTAAAGAAATTCGTGAAATTGAGTCTTTTCCAGATTATTGAAAAGAGTATTACTGCATTGGAACTCGGGACACTGGGCGACTCAAATCTTGAATTCAAAATATTCGCGAAAAACAAAATGGACAAAATTTAACACATTGCACCCTAAGGGCCTGGACGGGAAGTCCATTCCTAGATCCTAAGCAAGGGGAAATAACCCACCTCCCGTGAATACAAGCCTTTAAAAAACACATTTTAAAAATACTAAATAAATTCCCAAAATCCTGAAAAAATAAAGGTTAAAAAGAAAACTGAATGTAGTTTCAGAAAAATATAACTTTATGTCTGCGCAAACTGTTGGAAATGTTTTAACTTTAGTTCAATCGGGGTGTCCGACCCGTCACTCTCACTCTCAGCCTCGCGGTCGGGCCCTGATCTAAATTCTAGATTTTCTACGTCTGATCAGTCCGAATCGCCCCAAACTCTTGCTACAACGTTTTCATCAAAATCTGAGTCATCTGATTTGCCATATGCTTGTTTTTGCTCAAATCCATCGTTATTTCCTTTTTCGATCTCAATTGTGTCGGTTTTCAACAAGTCGAGACACTTTCGAAGTGTCGGTAACGTGATCGCACTTCGTTCGGCTCTAATACTAAAACTATTGGCCCGAAAAATTTCGTTTCGGTATCAAACGAAAGAAGAAACTTTTTGCTCTACAATGCAAATAAAATCCCGGCCCTAGAGTCTCGTCAAGGTGAGACTTTCGTTTCTAAAGACGCTGGGTCGTCGCGGGCGGTTCCGGGCGAGTCAGGGTGGAGCGCGTAGAGAATTCCCGGGAGATTCCGGGCGAGTTAGGGCGTAATGTGTTAAAAAAAACAACCTTCCAAAACAACTGGCATAGAGTATATATCAAAACGTACCTGGAAATAGCTGTATTTGTAAATGTTTCCAGAGGTCACCCGACACACATCGGAGACTGTAGCGACATCGATATACTGGTTGGGGAAGAGGAAAAGGTCCACGCTGCAGCCAGCAGCCACACACTCGGTGCCCAGCTTGTGGTAGAACGGGCTCTGTGGTGACAGCACAGTCTGCCAACAAAAGAAAAAAGTAGAGTGTCAAAATAAAGATCTCGCATGACTCCAAAACTGCAAGTGACAAAACATGTTCTAGTTTCAGTACAGGTTTAGTTTTAGTAGAGGTGTTACGGCGCTCGCAACACAATAAGGTCATATAAGTGCCGAAGATTAGAGGTGTTACAAGAGAGTAACAAACACAAAAAAGAAGGAGGGAAGATAAAGACGATAGGTAAGGATAGGAAAGAAGAAGCAAACCACACCAGAGCACCTGCCAACCACCCACTAGTACAGGTTTTACGGCGCTCACAACTGCATAAGGTCATATAAACGCCCAGGGGTGGATGTCAACAGAGAAGTCCTTACAGGGAATCCGACTTACTCTGCTCACCTCTCAAGCTTCAACAGCACAAGGTCTGCTTCGACTATCAAGGCACCCCGGAAATAGCGGGTCACAAGAGTGTGACAAACATACAAAAGAAGTAGAGGAAAATGACGATAGTAGGGATTAGGAAAGAAAAAGCAGCAGTTCCCTGTTGTAGTTCAGGCACAGTTATGAGCATGACATTGTTCGATCAGTCCATTTACAATTCTACTGTGCATTAAAACGAGAAAGGCCTAGAGACACTTCAGTCAGTGGCACCGCCCTGGGGGGTTAAAACATGTTTGTGGTTGGAGTACACTGTTAGTCAGCTGTATTATCTGCTAGCTGTTTTTCTTCTCTCAATTTTCATCTTCTAGAATTTACACAGTGATCAGTATGCTTTTAAAAAAAAGGGGGCAACATGAAAACAAAGCACACACAATAGAGACTGACCACAGGATGTGACATATAAAGCAAGAACGTTTCTCTGATGAACAATACCACAACAATAAATCATACTAAAAACGGTGAAAACTAAGCATACAGAATAGAGACTGACCACAGGATGTGGCATGATCACAAGAACATTTCTTTGATGAACAACATCAGAACAATAACTCATGCTATCACAATGAAAACAAAGCATAGACATAGACAACAGAGACCGCCCACAGGATGTGGCGTACAAGGCAAGAACATTTCTCGGATAAACCACACCACAACAATAATAAATCATGCCACTCCACCTTTTCTTTCTCAGTTCCCAGCAGTTTGCGGTCATCCCTGTTCTTCAGTTTCCCAGGAGCCTCAGCGTTGGGCAGACCAGTGTGAAATATGTACAGGCGGCCGGCCCGGTCCGAGGACTTGAGGGCGTCCAGCCCAGCTTGGATCACGGGGCCCAGGACCATCTCAGTCTCCTTGGACTCGGCAAACAGTTGAGGGATCTGAGACAGCAAGCTGGGGGAGGAAAGGCCATAATAATAATAATAATAATAATAATAATAATATATAGCGCTCAAGCTGGGGGAGGAAAGGCCATAATAATAATAATAATAATATATGGCATTTATAAAGCACTCATGCTAGGGGACAAAAGGCCACAATTATAATAATAGTAATTATAATAATAATAATAAAATATGACATTTATACAGTGCTTAAGCTGGGGGAGGAAAGGCCATAATAATATATTGCATTTACATAGTGCTCAACCCGATTAAGTTCACAGGCTCTGAGAGCTTTACAATACAACAGTTACATTATAATATAATCAGTACATTGTGCTCTGACAAAAAAAAATTCTCGAAATGTATTTCTTATCGATTTAAAAAACAGAAATGACTTTAGCTGACATCTGAATGAATTAAAGGATTTGACCTCTCTTTAAGGATCACCAAACATAAGCACAAATCTGATGCTTTAATATGATGAACCCAAATTAATTTTCTATATATTACTTTGTTTCAGTCAAGAATATTTCGACAAACAATGAAATGTAAAACAAATTTTTACTGCTCGAGATGTAATATTGTTTCCTCCGTTCCTCAAATTATACTTTTAAAAAGTATACAAGAATGAAAAGACACAAAGAAAAGCTGTTCTCATTCGATGTTCCAGGTTAGATAAAAATATAAAACAGATTCAACCAAATTTATCATCAGCACTCTTTCAAAGGATTCAAATTACAGAGACCACTATGATGTCAATTTTCTCCGCAAGCATTCAGTAAAAGCTTCTAATCCGATTCTTTAATTCTCTAATTCGATAATGTCAGGGCCATTTGGTCAAAACAGCACAGAGCCAATACAGGTGACGGCTGTTCTTGCAAAAACGTGGCCATCCCCTCACTCACCTGTCAATGACAGCTGCTGACTCGGACAGCTTGACCAGGAAGCCGTCCACCAGCGGCACAAACATGTCCTCCAGGTCGGAGACGACCATCATCTGTGGCTGGGCCAGAGAACTCTGAAACCAAAGTTTTTTTAGTTTTGGTAAGAGTTTTACGGCATTTGCAACACAATACGGTCATATAAGTGCCGAAGACGAGAGGTGTTACAAAAGAGTAACAAACACAAAAAAGAAGGAGGGGAGATAAGGACAATAGATGTTTGATAGGAAAGAAGAAGCAAACCACACCAGAGCACCCGCCGACCAAAGAAAGTGAAAATGGCATAGGTTTACTGCCTGAGGCGGGACCTACAAGTTTAACGTCCATCTCCGAAAAGATTGAGTCAAAAGGGAAATTCATGTTAAGTCTTTCCAAAAAAAACCACAATCGGATCTAGCTGAGGCTCAAACCCCCAGACCCCCAATCTCACGATTTCGGGTCCGGTACCCTAGCCACCTGGCGACTGACGTCATCCAAAGTAAGAAGAGATTAAAGTAAATAACAACCCAATCTTTTACTTTTACCAATTCAGCTAAGCCAAAGAACCCAAAAAGTATAACCATACAACTGAGAAGTCAGATAAGTTCACCTTATCTTAACTGAAAGACAAATACCTTGACGTTGTAGAAATGCAGTTCCTTGTGGTAAGTAACAAATCCAACCCTGATCTCCGATTCTTCAACTCCAGCTTCCCTGTCAAAACAAACATAATGAAAGTCTAAAAAAAGGCACCAATACATGTTGAGACTATGAGAGAATGTACAAATTACAAGTTAACCATTCATCTAGGCCACAGCATGAAGAGCTATTTTTTTTTAAAAGCAGCCTCGCTATATTTTGCCAGGGTAAACTGAAATGTAAAGGTAACTCTTTTATCTCTGAGGGGGGTGGGGTAAACCCACTATGCCGGGGCCCCCTTCTGGTACGAAATTTGAAATTGACAAATACATCACTAAATTGGTAATTAAATCCAAGCAAGTGACCCAATTTTAATAGCTTTCCATTTAACGAATGAGCTCCTGGTATTAGAAACCCAATTGCTGGAAAAATAATTTGACGCCGAAGTCGCCGTAAAGAAAAGCGCCCGAGCCACTGGCCGGGCTCACAGGCACAGCGGTTCAGACTTCGAGCCGCTGGGAGCAGCAAGCGGAAGATAAGGAGTTAAAGAGCATTTTTACTCATCAATATAAGACATAATTTCTTTAAAGCGTCTCTACATCATTACATTCACATCCCAAAAGCAATGAAAGTAATCTTCTTTTCAAAAGTCATTTTCTGATATGTTTTCGTCACCTTTGCCCTAAATTACAGCACATGTTGAGCCTCACCTGGGCAAGTTGACAAGGACCTCCGACTTCAATTTATCACATATAAGCTGCACCAGGCCGCTCTTCACACTGTTGTAGGACACGTCGATCATGAAAATAAATGCAGGCTCTTTAGGTGGAGTGCCATTCTGGGGGAAAACGTAAAGACCCATAAACATAGAGAATATGGCTAAAGACATGCTAAAAATAGTGAGCACCAAACGTAAAGAGCCATAAACATAGAGAATATGGCTAAAGACATGCTACAAATAGTGAACACCAAACGTAGAGACCCATAAACATAGAGAATATGGCTGAACACATGCTAAAATAGAGAACCCCCAACAGGCTCAAAACATCTGATAACACTCATACCGTATGGTCATACCCTACCTATAACACATCACAGTACACATCACAGGCAAACTGCATGATGAAGTCTTGTGTCAATTGTCATAAGTATAAATATGATACAAAAACATGAAGAGGTGAGGGGTAAAAATTGACCTAATAATAAATAAAATAAATAGAAAACAATGCTAGATTTTCTTCAAAGAATGCAAACTAAAATTTTTTCAGTACATTGTAGCATTTATTGCACTTACTGCAAAGACAACATCAACATCTCTGACCCAACAAAAAAAAAAAACAAAGAAAAAATTGGCAGCTTACCTTGCAGTAATCCTTTGTGGCAACAAATTCGTAAGACCCTAGACACAGCTCTGCCCGGTTGTAGCAGTCAACTCTGCGCCCTGTGTGATCCAAATGAGCAAAATACTCATTTGGTACTGTGGAAAGAAAAGAAAGAGAGAAAATTTGTTTATTGAAAGCCATGTAGCACGAAAAAATCTTGGGAATTCATTTGGACAAATGCTTTAATAAATGAAGACAATCAAAAAGCGTATTTAAGACTTTCTCTAAGCCCACACCTATCAAAAACAGGCATTCCACTCTCTCAACCCCTACAAATGTAGTTTAATTACAATAACAACCAGAAGAAGACAAGTTTTACAGCAGCGCTCATAATTTCGTTTTCAAACACTTAATGATGTAGCATTCCTGTGGGAAATTTTCAAACAAAACGAGATTAATTTGCAAACTTTTAAGAAGAACAGTCCAAAAGAATGTTGAAGAATCATACCATCTGTAGCAGCACCGCAGAAAACACACTGAAACCTCCTGCCACCGTCGACAAACTGCATGTAGGGGTTCATGTAGGCCTTACAGCGCTTACATCTGACAGGACCAAGCTCTCCTAAATCAACCAGTGGAGGAGGTTGCTGGAACAAAAAAGAAAAGAAAAATGGTAACAATACAAAAGAGGACAAAACAACCAAAGAAGTAAGGAAACACGCCAACAGAGTACTTCGCATTGTTCCTGAGGAGCCGCAACAATCTCTTAGCCCTTAACACTTTGCCGCCTCATCTCGCCGATTGGCGATGTTTACCACCCAGTTTCTTTGGATTTTCCCTAAAATATGACGGCAAAGTGTTAAAGCCCAGTCCCGAATATATCCCTCACAAATATTTGTTCCCTCTCGCCAAGTAGTGTCCATCTCTCTCACGGCCAATTCTGTCATCGAAATTTTTTTACATTTTTTATTTAGATTATTGTGGGAGAGTCATTCGTTTTCATAAGAGTTTTACGGCACTTGCAACACAATATGGTCACATAAGTGCCGAAGACTAGAGGTGTTACAAGACAGAAACAAACAAAAAATAGAAGGAAGAGAGATAAGGACAGTAGATGTTTGATAGGAAAGAAGGAGCAAACCACACCAGAGCACCCACCAACCACCCACTCATTCAAAAACCAAGTAAGATACAAAGAATTAGGAATGCACAAACCTCTTGATCACCCAGTTCAGCAAAAGGTGTCACAGCTAGAGCAAATGGTATATGAGATGATTTCAGCATATCTGCAGTGCACGGTATGTTGTACATGGTTGAACGCATAAATCTAGGGTTTGCATTCCCTGAAAAAAAAAAAGACCATTCAAATCTTAACATGACAGTCTTGACAGGATTTCTACTAACCTGAGACATTATTTTTAAAGTAGAGGTTTTACGGCGCTTGCAATTGCATAAGGTCATATGAGCGCCAAAGGGTGGGTGTCAACAGAGAAGTCCTTAAAGGGAATCCGACTTACCCTGCTCACCTCTCTAGCTTCAACAGCACAAGGTCTGCTTCGACTTTCAAGGCACCCTGGAAATAGCGGGTCACAAGAGTGTGACAAACATACAAAAGAAGTAGAGAAAATGGCGATAGTAAGAATTAGGAAAGAAAAAGCAGCAGTTCCCTGTTGTAGTTCAGGCACAGTTATAAGCATGGCATTGTTGAATCAGCCCATTTATGATTACAATTCTACTGTGAGACATTTTAATAGCCAGTCTTCACACATGATAAAACACAATATACTTTCTTAGGTTCAAATAATATCCACTGTTAATTTCATGGAAAGTATAAAAACAAAACAAAAGAAAGTTTGTAAAAAGACAATTTTATGTATTGTCCTCATTTTGTTTGTTTTAGTAGAGGTTTTATGGTGCTCGCAACTGTATAAGGTCATATGAGCGCCAGAAGATTAGATGTGTTACAAGAGTAACAAACATAAAAAAGAAGGAGGAGAGATCAGGATGATAGATCTACATTTGAAAGGAAAAAAGAAGCAAACCACACCAGAGCACCCGCCAACCACCCACTGTCCTCATTTGACATTCTCACAGCTGTGAGTTAAGACAACAACAAAAATGAGTACACTTCTGACAGCATAATAAATTGAAGTTCCCTCTTTCTTACACAAACACACACCTACACCTGAGAAGTGAAACATACAACATGCATGACCCTTGACTTAACTCACTGACAACAACAGTAGGTGCTAGGACCTATTTTTATGGCCAAAGACGACAGAACAGACAGGCACATCTGACAAATCTAAACAAAACAGAAATCAAAAGGTGTAGTTTGGCAGTAGCAGGACTCTCAAATTATCACATCTTTGTTTTATTTTAGTAAGTGTTTTACGGCACTTGCAACACAATAATGTCACATAAGTGCCGAGGATTAAAGGTGTTACAAGAAAGTAACAAACACAAAAAAAGAGGGGAGACAAGGAAGATAGTTATTGTTTTATACGAAAGAAGGAGCAAACCACCCCAGAGCACCCACCTACCACCCACTTACATGTTTTCAAGAGAAAAAAAAAAAGTGAATATCACTCGAGAAAAGTGGGGAACAAAAAACTGTACACAACGGAGACAGAGGACACAAAATTCCATGTTTCATTTGAATGCTGACAAAGGGGCATTCCAATTTAAACCATTCTTCTTTAAAAGCATACCTTGATCTTGTGTGGTGAAGGTGGTGGTAACCAGAGGTGGCACACTGCCCTTGTTGTTCGTCTGAAAGACACCTGATCTGTTTCTCTTGTCATCTTCAATGACTTGAATCTGAAAATGGAAGAGATAAAGAAAATAGTCATACCTCTGCTTTAACTGCCACCTGACTGAGACACCCTTTCCACAGAGGAACAACTCGGTCGTTTTTTGCAAGGTTGTAAATAACCGTGCCTATTGCTATTTTCAACAGTATTTTGTGACATGACGAATGTATTTGGATGAAGACCAGAAGCTTCATAACAAGTTTCGTTATTAGTCCGTTTAAAAAGAGAATTTAGCGAGTTATTTAGTTTAAAGTGTTGATCGAAATCACTCATGTCTGTTTCTGTTGGCAACTATGGTGCAGGGCAATAGTTCATGCAAAATGAAAGCCCTATAACGCTTTTGCCCTACAAAGCAACCGATATATGCTTTTTAAAATTCTAATTACATTGATGGTTACACTGGCGAATGGTGACAGTATGCTGAATGAAACTCATCCAGGCACTCAAGTTCATGATTTGAAAAATTATTAACCCTTTTATTGCGCATTTGCTCTTACATAAAACCACAAAACACTTTGCAACCCCTCTATTGTGAATATAGCTCAATTACCTTTCCAGTTGTATCAAATACATATCCCTTTGTTGAAAACATGACAGCACTATCAATATTTGAATAAGGTACCCATTGTGTAATAGATGCTCTTGGTATATTAGTTCCGGCATAATGGGCATATAGTGGAAAAAACAACAAACTGCTGGCGCAACAAGTTAATATTAGTCTCACCAATCACAAGCCCCCCTTGCTGCGCAGTCATGGTGGAATGGTACGCCAGACTATTGGAGTCAGCACCAGAATAAACATTACTACCACCACAAGAGAGGCACAAGCCTGCAAGAGCTGACTAGATAAAAATGTATTGTAAACATTGCAAAATCAATTTTTTTTAAAACTTTGCTTGTCAAAACAAACTCACATTAAAATTCAACATCCTGAGTAATACCCACAATTCACTTGGGAGTCCACCAATTCATCAGAAACAGTAACAAACTCAAAAAAGAAAAAAGAAAGTTAAAGATGACACGTTTTCTTAGGAAAGAAGGAGCAGACCACACCAGAGCATCCGCCAACCACCCACCACCCTCAGTTTGTTTGTGAACAAAACTTTAGTAAGAAAAAAAAAAAAAAAAAAAAAAATCTACAACAAAAAACCACAAGCCTAGTTGTGTGCTCCTTACCGGGCTGGGCATCTGGTCAGGGTCAAGCCTCCTCTGCTGCTGTGGGGCCTGCATGGGCTGAGGGGGCTGACCCGGTCCTCCGTATCCCATCGGCTGTTGACCATACTGTGCAGAACCCGGGAAATGTCCCCCGGGCCCAGGAGGGCCTTGTGGGGGAGGAGGCATCTGTCCAGGCTGTGGGGGCATCTGTCCAGGCTGTGGGGGCATCTGTCCGGGCTGTGGAGGCATCTGGCCTGGTTGTGGCGGCATTCCGGGCTGCGGTGGGTGCATTGTCTGTCCGGACGGGGGGACCATCCCTGGGGGTCCTCCCATGAAGTTAGGTCCTGGAGGAGGCATAGGCTGGTGGAGGGAGGAAGGCGGTGGTGGCATCTGACCGGGGAAGCCAGGAGGCTGCTGGTGGGGCATGCCAGTAGCCGGTGGTTGTGGGTACCCCGCGCCGGGAGGGGGAGGGCCAACGGAGCTCGGAGGCATGGCGCCCATTGAGTTGGGAGGCATGGCACCCATTGAGTTGGGAGGCATGGCACCCATTGAGTTGGGAGGCATGGCACCCATTGAGTTGGGAGGCATGGCACCCATTGAGTTGGGAGGCATCATCCCCATGGATGAGGGAGGGGGAGGCATCTGGCCCTGCATGCTCGAGGGAGGAGGAGGGTGGCCGGGCATCGGGCCACTCGCCGGCTGAGCCATGGAGGTCGGCATTTGACCCATGCTGCTGGGTGGGAGGGGGCCGGCGCCCGGGGGGAAACCCTGCCCAGAAGACGGAGGCATCTTGCCTCCCATACTGCTGGGAGGAGGAGCTCCCATACCTCCAGGCACAGGAGGTCCCGGGGGTCTCTGTGTGGTGGGTGGCCCGTTGACCTGCGGACTTCCGCCCGGCGGGAACATCCCTGGTCTTTGAGGGGGAACCCCTTGAGGCCCAGGGGGTGCCATTGGCCTCATCCCAGGCTGGTTGGGGTCGTTCAGATTCATATTGTTGAACTGTGAGACGTAAACAGAAGAAATGTATTATAGTTCAAGAAGGGAAACAGCATCTTTTCTGTATTATAGTGGAAACTTAGTTAACCCTGTTGACATGTGTACAATATCAAAGAATAAGAACTTCTATGGTCATTTTTACCTGGGTTCCACTGAACACCATCAAGGGTTCAGTGGAGGTTAAAAGTGTGTCTGCGTGTGTGTGTGTGTGTGTGTGTGTGTGTGTGTGTGTGTGTGTGTGTGTGTGCACATGCGTATGTGTGTCCGTCCGTGGGTCCGTCCGTTTATCCCACTCGAACAATTTGATTAGTTAAGTTTCAGTAGAGGTTACCACACTTGCAACACAATAAAGTCAAATAAGTGCCAAAGATTAGAAGCGTAACAAACACACACACACAAAAAAGGAAGAGAGAGATGAGGACAATAGATCTTTGATAGGAAAGAAAGAGCAAACCACTCCAGATCACTTGCAAACCACAAGCAGGATTCGACGAATCCAAGTATGAAACATGGGGGGGCTTAGTACCCCAAACGAGGTTAGTTTAGTTTTGGTAGAGATTTTACGGTGCTCGCAACTGCATAAGGTCATATGAGCGCCAGAAGATTAAAGGTGTTACAAGAGAGTAACAAACATAAAAAAGGAGGGGGAGATAAGGACGATAGATGTTTGAAAGGAAAGAAGGAGCAAAGCACACCAGATCACCTGCAAACCACCCGCAGGATTCAACGAATCCAAGTATGAAACATGTGGGGCTTAGTACCCCAAACGAGGTTAAGAACCCCTGCTCTAGCAAACTTTTTATAAACTTCACATGGACAAAACTACTGTGTCAATGTTTGTTGCTCCTACCTGTGATGTTGGCGGCATTCCTTGGTAATTAGGTCCACCCATTCCAGGATTGGGAGGAGCAAATCCCTGACCTGGCTGCGGACCGAAGCCTGCCGGTGGTTGACCAGCACTTGTAGGTGGCATTGGACCAGGGGGTCTGAAAACAAGAGATACCCTCTTTATTTCTTTCACTTGCAGTGCAGAGAACTAAATATGTTCTTTCACAATGTTTTAAAAGGCAAAATCAACGCCGAAACTAGGGACACACTTTTCATTTCTTTCACTCGCGGTGCAGAGAACTAAATATGTTCTTTCACAAAACAATGTAAAAATACCCATTTAGGAGAGATTATGGGTTAAAAAACCCCTGCAGACTTGAGGGTATGGGAAGGAGCGGCAAAGCCAACTGCAGATGGAGTAAGAGTCAGTGGAAGATTATCACTGAATTAATATTAGATACGTTGCAACAAGCATTTGAAAGCATTTTCTTCTAACCTTCTGCGGGGGAAAATCAGTAACTAATTGAAAAAAAAAAAATGACTTGATGCATTAGATTCGAAATAACTAGGTGTAATACCACTAATCACTTGCTTCCAGAATATGAATTTCAAACCCTTTCCTTGTTTTTCCTTGGCAAAGAAACCTTTGAGAAAGGAGAATACACATGGAAAGACAGAGAGTGACAAATAAAAATCATCGAATTGATGACCATTGTACTTATTGCTTTTTAGTACCAGTTAATAAAAAAAAAGCAACTTACCCTGGTGGTCTCATGGGTGCTCCAAAAGGAGGACCATTCATTGGAGGCTGTGCTGCACCTGCTTTACTGGGTTGAGGAGGACCATAGTTTCCTGGAGAATAAGAAGAAAAGTAAAAAACATGCAGTCATCCGGAGCATTTATTCTTGATTAAGCTAAGACAGTGAGCAGTAGCCACATTCATTTCATTCATAACTTGCACCATGTTCAGGGTTTAAGACACCTGTGTCGATTAGTGTTACTGTTATGCTATAGTGTGACTTTTCCACCTTTCTGGAAATGGCACAATTTCTGGCAGTGGCCGGTTATCTGGATGACAGTGGAAAGTTGTGAGGGGAATGATTGATAGTGACATTGCTGCAAATATCATTTTATTTATTATTCCTGATATTGTTGGCTGCACAGTAAGCTACTCTGCATGCATAATTTCTTGTAAGAGCAAGCAAAGAGGGAAAATGGGTGGAAGGCTTGTCACCTTCTGATAATTCAGCAAATAAGTGTCGACTGTTACACATATGGTCTGATGGTGATGCGAAACGTAACCTGACAGGGAAATTCACATTTAACTGGAACTGAAACTAATTATTTCTCTCATAACATTACATACATAACATTAGGATCGCAAAGGGTTATTTTTTGAGAGTCATCTGGGCGAACGGACTAGGTAAAAAAAAAAAAAAAAAGGTAGACATGGGTTGGTGAGAACAGCAGGTTTGGATAGGTTTGGGGGAGGAGAGTAAGCAGTCTGTCTCGTCAACATTCAATAGACACATGAACAGCAAACACAGTTCTTGTCTCACGCCAAGGAATACAACATGAATGCACTCAAAAGACTAAATAAAGAGGTAAGACTGACTGGTACTCCTAATACAGCAGGAATAAAAAACCCTATACCCTTCTAAAAATCAACTTTTGATAAGATTGTCCGATCGCTAAGGGGAACATCCATTCAGAGACAATACTTTCACATTATTCTCTAAATTAGGAACTCCTTACATACATTAAAAAAGGACATTTCTAAGTTAAATTATAATATGTATCTACCAGGAGGTCTTGCACCATTGACTTGATACATTGGTCCAGGCTGTGAGCTTGGGGGAGGTGGTCCTCCAGGATATGGAAACTGGCCACTCATCTAGATGACTACTCGATATATGCGATCTCTGTTCTGAAACAAATATTTTCAAGTGTAAAAATATCATTTAGTTTAGATAATCAAAACAATTTTATGACTTACGCCATTATAAAAACCTCTTAGATACAGGGTGTTGTTATTAGGTTCATGAAACATAATTGAAGACTATTTTTTTCTCGGTAATATATACAAAAGATCAGTGAGAAATTTCAGACCTTAAACAGTTAAGAGCCAGTTTGACAGAGGGATACATTGTTGAGAGTTGTAACTGTATCTTTATCGGATTTATAAATCTTTCGAAGTAGCTCGCCGTACTTAAGTACGGCCAGACTGAGAGACTAGCCGTCTAGCTAGCCGTACTTAGATCTAGGTTTGGCCTTATCGACTCAAGCCTGTTAAGTACACAGGTCTCATTAGATCTAGATCTAGTAATTATTCAGGTTCAAATACATATGCAAGTCAGTAAGGCACCTTTTGGTTTTGTCTGAAATACAAATATTTTAGGCACTGCAAACTAAAAATTTCATTTACAATTCAGCCATCAATATTAAGTATGGCTAGACTGACAGTCTAGCCGTCCTTAAGTACGGCTAGCCTGGCTGTCTACCCGTACTTAAGTACGGCTAGCCAAGAAGTCTAGCCGTACTTATCTTAGGCCCTATTAACATTAGAAAACAGGAGGTTTAAAATACATGCACTGTCATTAAGACACCTGGTTTCGTCTCAAATACAAATACTTTAGGTACTGCACACTAAAAATTTATATTTACAATTCAGTAGGCCTATTTGTTTAAAATGGTAAGTCTAGCCATCATATTAAGAATAAACGGCTAGACTGTCTAGCCGTCATTAAGTACGGCTAGCCTCTTCCTAAATCTTTTCCCCAATAACAAGACACTTGTCAGCAAGAAAAATGCATTGTTGCATCATATTTTCATTCAAACAACACTATTTTCATCTTGAACTCACTTATTATAATGACATTACATATTGAAAAACGACATCTGAATCTGATATAAAGTGAAGATTAATTTCTTCCCTAGATATTGTAGCCCCTACTAGAAAGGGAAAAAAATTGACAATTCATTAGTCTTAGAACACATTCTTGTCAAGAGTATTTATAAGCAGAAAAAATAAGTGATGTATAGGCCTCTAAATCACAACCGTATTTCCATTTCCTGAAAATGCACACAGTAAATAATTGAGTAATGACAGGCCCACTCTTACCTTTTCAAAGGAGCATAAGTAAAATTAGGTATGCATTACAATTTGAGATATGATCTAGGGTCTACCCTCGTCAGATTAATTACATCAGCCAGAGGCTCAGGCTCATGTGAAGGTTCTGAATTTGTTTGGCCTGAGTTTGGGTTTCTTGCTTCAACTAGATCTAGGGTCAGGGATGATCAGTCAGGGATATCAGTGAGTTTTGAGTTGTTGTTTTTTAACAGTTTGAGCTTGGGAGCACAAGAAGATTATGTAAAGGAGGTGTTGATTAAATCTGACTAGACCATCTAACTAACGCATAATATATCTTTCAAAATGAACGAACAAGAACTCGGAAATCTAATCTACAGAAAATAACAACTGCCCTCTGCTTACACAGTCAATGCCGGCTTGACTGCAAGACAAGAAGACAGCGAAAACGACCGACCATTGAAGACACATATTTATCTAAAACATACATTTCATACAGCAGGCTTCACACACCGATTCAAAAGTTACTTATGGCAGAAGTAAATGCAGTTTTCTCACTTACCTATGATAATAATATACCAATGCAACCAGTCATTTCTGCCAACAACATACAATGTACACAAATTCCACGATCCCTCTGCCACGTACGGGAAGCTGACTGGAACTTCCGCACATGCGCACTGATGCCACGTTGACAGGAAGAATGGGACTCGAGAGGGAATTCCCGAACCGTTACATCCGGCTGTGCATTTTTAAGCGTGCCTAGTTGCTAAGGGTTTAACAATTAATTATAATTCAAAAAGATGTTGTATTTTATTGTTTTCTATTTATATCATTTAGAACTGAATGCTACAGTGTTAAACTCCCCTCCCATACTACATGGCAGTTTGTTATGGTTACATGTAGATAATGTCAACTCAGGAAAATAGTAATAAAACAAGAACAATTGAACAAATTCAACGTTAATCGTAATTATAATATATTTATATATGCAGATCAAGATCTAGAATCTAGATCTAGATCTAGATGTAGGTCTGTTTTTTTTTTTTTTTGAAAAATATTTTTTAAAATTTCCACAATATAAATTGTCTAAAAAATACCCTAGTCAAAGTTTATGTTGTTCAGGTCGACTTGAAAGCCACCAACTTCTGTACATGGATAGAACAAAATTTTAAGGTGCTTATCTTGGTACTTTGAATAGGGTTTAATATACTACATGTGTATGAAAGCTAGTTCGATGCCCGGGGAAATTTATTAAAGATATTTAGATATACAATTGGTATTTTAAGGTACTTTCAGATTTGAGAAGAGTTTTTTCTGCCATAATCATGTGCGCGCGCGCACGCGCGTATGTGTGTGTGTATGTGTGTGTGTGTGTGGGGGGGGGGGGGTGACTCTCTCTCTCTCTCTCTCTCTCTCTCTCTCTCTCTCTGTGTATGGGGGGGGGGGATTGGTGCCTCTCGGGAGATTTCTAGAGTAAAACAAGGGTGTCTGCTTTCGTCATTCTTATTTCTTTTTGTAATAAACTGGATCACACCTAACGTAAGCAAAGTAGAGTAAGGAGGATTTCCCTAGATTCTAGACCCTCAACGAACAATTTGAGGATAAGGCTTTTGTAAACGACATTGTATCTTTGTTGCCGTACGTGGGAGAAGGGTGGGGCGGGGGCTCAGTAGCTCCACAGAAATCAACCCAGAGGTACAGGGTTACAGTTTCCGCCAGAGTCGGACTTTTTCTCGTGTTTTATCACCTCCAGATACCAGAGTACATGTAGTATGTAGGATGGAGAACATAGTTTTCACGGGTAAGTACGACAAATATTTCAGAAATCCCGTTAGGAAGTTTCGTACGTTAAAATAGAACCCTTAGTGGTTTTAAACTTCAATAAAGTAGACCCTTCTGGATGTACCCGATCAAAATGCAAAATTAATACCTATCTTAAATTGAAACCAGTTTTGTTATCAGTATAAATATTAAGAGTATAGTCAGGGCCGTCGAGAGCCAGGTCGGGCCCTGGGGCAGCGATCACCTTCGGGCCCCTCCTCGCCCCCCCCCCCCCGGTCTCACCCGCCCTCACCTGCAATTTAATAACCCAACAAATACAATGTACATAGGCATATACATGTATAATCAGTGAATAATCACTTTATTGGAGCATATCTATTACATACCAACATACGCTCTCTCTCTCTCTCTCTCTCTCTCTCTCTCTCTCTCTCTCTCTCTCTCTCTCTCTCTCTCTCTCTCTCTCTCTCTCTCTCTCTCTCTCTCTCTCTTAGACACACATCTTCACTACTTGGATATGCAATTTGCAAACAGATGTTTTTATAAAAGCTAATCCCCCGCATCCACCCCCTGAAGGAACGTTCAGCTAGCGCAACTGTGACAGGCAAGGTGCAGAAGATTCTTAACATGATTATAACGTTTGGAAACAAAGCATCTAGTTTCAGGGAATGAAGTCTGTTCAGCAACTGACGAGACGGCAGGACATTTTCTCCAATGTTCGCTGAATGAATCACTTTCAAATGTTCCAACTCTTGAGCAAGGTCTGCTGATGCATCCACTGCCTATTCCGTGTTCAATTTGTTTGCAAGATCACGAATAACGCTGACTTCCTCTTGTGATATTTCCACAAAACACTAAATAACGAATCGAGTTTTGTCACTGTATTATAGGCCTACCTTGTCGTCAAAATTTCCAAGAAGGCAGTCAATGAGGACACAAGAAACTTCATGTTTGAATTTTTTAACGGGATTTTAGTAGTCTGTTACATCTTCTGCCTCGTCTGTAAAAAGCTTCCTTTTCTTTTGTCGTTTTGCTGTTTCGGCGAATGCATGCTCAATCTCATTGTTATCTGCTACTAATTTGGACTCACTCAAGATTGCATCCCATTCATCTCGTAAGCTTTTCAAATCTTTAATCAGACTATTGATATTTTCCACCTCAACATCAAGAGTTGCATCTCGTGCTTGAAGCACTCTATTTCTGTGATCGATTGCTGTGAGGATTTAGAGCCAAACAGATGGCACTATCAAACATTCAAATGATGCGAAGTACACGTACTTAAGAATACCAATCAAATCTGAACGTGTTTCTGGGGGGAGGTTCATTTGTAGAACAGTTTGAACAGCTTTCCTCAGTCCCCCGATGTGAGCCGCAGAAGGTCTGACACTGTCAACACGTGCTGACCAACGTCTCTGAGACGTACTGTGCAAAGAGCTGGGAATGTTTGGCTTCAAAATTTCCCACCTTTGTGGACTGGAGCTAAAATTAGTAAAAATGTTATACAACTTCTGTACAACATTTCGTAATAAATCATTAAAAAGTTTGGGCGGCACTGCAGGACTGTGCTCTATGGACGAACCGCGCCTGACTTTTTTTCTTCTGCTTGTACCGGTGGGTGTCGCGGGGAGACACAGTCGTCTGTCTGAAGCAAGGTGAATGGCCTGTAGGAGGGACATCCCGTGAGCTCTGAGGATGTCTGCTACAGATTCACTCCAGCGGGAGACTTTTCTATTCCAGAGCAATGTGTCCTTTCGACCCACCCTTAACTGAGCCACGGAATATAATCAAAATCATTAGCGACAGCTTCGAGTTCTTTCACAGACGCTGCTGGTGAATGTCTTATGGCACCGGCGTCTTTGGTGTAGCGATTAGATGCTTCGCTGTCGCTTTCAGGAGACCCGAGTTCGATTCCAGAGTGGGGAGATAATTTTTCTGGAGTATCTCGGTCTTTCTGCTGGGATGTTGAATGCCTCTCTGCCCGGGTTGGCCCTGACGGATGGAGTTGGAAATCTACCTCTTAAATGGTCTAAATTGTGGCGACAGGGGCGTAAAATACCTTCTTTTCAATTATTTGCTCTATGGCTTTAATTGAGCACATGCACGATAAACCTACTCATGACGATGTTTAACATATTTATCCAAAATGAAATCAAGAGGCGATGATAGAGTGGTATAGACATTGCCGTGTGTTGCCTCCCACTGTCGTTTACTTTCACTGGATTGAAAACGGCAAAAGACACAGAAGAAGACCAAGAGAGCTTGGGGAAAAACCATCGAGTCCGTGATGACTGTACTGGTAGATCTAGAGGTCATCTAAAGAATAATTTTTTTTAAAGTGTAGCTTTTACAAGCCCATCGACACTATTAATTTAAAAAGTAGGATTCGACCCTGCCTCTCCGGGGCAACGCAGGCTGAGAGGGATACGACATCCTAGCAGAGAGACCAAGATGCTCGATACTCTACTGTAAGGTATCGAATAAACGGGGGGTGTTGACAAGTGGACCAAAATAAAATAAACGGGAAGGGGGGAGGGGGTTGAATAAAAGGGGGTGAGGGAGGGGGTGGGGGGAGGGGTGGCACATTCAGCCTCATACCGTGGTACTAGTAGGAACAAATCTGTTGTATGAACAAGAGATTGTGAAATTTTAGTGATTTTAGTAAGTTACTGTGACAACTTTTCCCATTTAGGAACAAACCAGTTTCATAAAAAAAAATAAACCAATGTTCCAAAGTTAAAAAAATACACAGGACATTGAGGTAGCCAACCCGGTACCGGTACTAATACTGAGGGTAAATTGCCATTTACAAAACAAACAAAAAAGCAAAAAAAAAGCAGTTTCATTCAGATATCCAGATTCTATATATACTGCTCAAAAAAAGTTACGGACCACTTAAAGTCACACATAGTACATAAAACTGAAAAACATGACACGGTTCAAAATTGTTAGAGAGGGGTCTTTAATTCATCATAATATCGCCTTTTGCAAATGACATTTTGCACATTCTAAAAATGGAAAATGGGTAATTTCAGATTTTAAAGAGGTAACTCATGTTTTTAGAATTCACACCACAACCGTCATAAACAATTACTAGGGCTCAAAATCGCGTGTGGTCACCATTTGCAAGAAAACAATCATTGCATCTTTGTCTCAGGGACTGAATATAAATGTTCGCAATGTCAGTTGTGAAATGGCTTGCCATTCTCAGTCCTAAATGTTAAAGAGTTCATCCACATTTTTTAGAGGTGGCTGGTCTCTTACTCGGCGCCCAAGAGCATCCCACAAGTGCTCAATGGGACTAAGGTCCGGTGATGGGGCTGACCAGTCAAGCCTGATCACGTGCTGCTGCTGCAAAAAGTCATCCACCACTCGAGCTCGGTGATGTGTGACGTTGTCGTCCTGGAGTATCGCACCCTGGCCAATTGCTCGAAGAGCTGGAATTGCAATGGGGCGGAGAATCTCGTCCCTGTAGCAGACACCCGTCAGAGGGCCTTGAATGCTATGCAGGGGGGTCCGGTGGTTGAGTCCAATCCAACCCCACACCATCACGGAGCCTCCCCCATACCGGTCATGCTCCTGTACACATTCGTCGTGGAAACGCTCACCAGGACGCCTCCAAACACGGATCCTGTCATCGTTGAAGGACAATGTGAGCCTGGACTCATCTGTGAAGAGCATAGTAGACCACTGCGGGCGTAACAACCTCAGGTGCTGGGCGGACCAGGTTCTGCGGGCAATCCGGTGGGCCTGTGTCAGTGGAACCCGGACTTCTGGTCGTCTGGAGCGTAGACCAATCTCCCGCAGCCGGTTTCTGATGGTCCTGTTGCTGATTCCAACGTTACCTGGGGGTACCACCCGCAGTCTGATGTGACAG